TAACGAAGTAAGGACTGATTTAGTGTTTAATGAGGGAGGTTTATATCAACCAGCTGTGAAGATTCACCAGAGGAAACAAAAGCTTAATGCTGAAACGTAATTAAATCAGGACTGTTGGCTCTTTCTCAAATGCAAACACACAAAACGACACACACACACACACACATCTTAAACAAGCAAATACACACATCTATATATATTTTTATATGCTTATACAAACACAAACACTTACTTATACAACCAAATACATAAATGAACATATACAAACATACATGCGCATATACACACATATACAAACACATACATATATACCCAGAAACTCTTTCTCACACACACATATCCATACTCTCCCATATACAGACAGACAGAGACAGAAATCCATACATACACACAAACCCAGACATAACATATTATGTGTATATTATATATGTACATGAACAAGAATACCCATTCAACTGATCAAATACTCTGCGTCAATACAATTTGCTTGAAATGGCACATTTATCCACTTTTGCGCCAGTTAACAATAAATATATTATTGTTGCAACACAACAAATCGGTCAGATATGTATGTCGTTATTACAAGAAAATAAACACAAGTAGATTCTGAGATTTGTCCAGGATGTTGCTTATTAAATGTGTAAATGTCAGGATTGGGAATGTTTGAATATGATGTGAGTTACCGCTGAACTGATATTAAAACCACAAGTTTCCTGATTATTAAAACCACTATCTCAACGTTGTTGCTATAGTGGAGTGGGTTTAATCGCTGACAGTAATAACTTGGGGTGTGTGTGTGTGGGGGGGGGGGGGGGGAGATAGTGTATTGTATCATCTTTCACATTTATGAAATAATATTTTCTGAACCCGAGATTAAAATACATTTGTGTGTGTGTGTCTGTGTGTTTGTGTGTGTGTGTGTGTGTGCATTACAAAATAATTTTAAAATATACCTTTCCTCCTCAACCTGTTCTTCCCCCCACACCCACCCCAATAAAAAAAAATCAATCCACCCACAGGGAAGGGAAATGCATCGCCTTTGACACTTGTTACGATTTTGCTCGTCAATAAACTCCCCCCCGTTTTAAAGGTCGAGGATATTACATTATTATATTATATGCTGCGGGAACAGCACAGCCGGACTCTTGTGCTGTATATTTCAACATTTAATATATATATATATATATATTTGGAAGCTGCACCTAGAAGGTTTGGCAATTAATAGATGAACGTGCAATGCCCATATCTGTGTCCAAATCGCCTTTTTTTCCGGGTTATAAAGGAAATTAAGGATTGGACAGCCGTGTGAGTGCGCACAGCTCTGTTTGAAACACTCTCAGTGTATGTCCTGGTGTTGTTTTCGGACACATCCAAATGAATGGACGTTTAAAAATCAGACGAAAAAAAAAAAACCCCCCCCAAACTGTTGGCAAAATAACGCAACGTGGTCTTTCGCTCCACGAGCTGAAGGGTTCTTTATTTTTACGTGTCTTTATCTGGGGAGGGGGGAGAGGGTGGAGGGGGGGAGAGGGGGGGGGGGTTGTAATGTTGTTTTAAACTGAATATACATGAAGCAGGAGGAGATTCTGACTAAACGCTCAGGATCAAAGGGCGAGTGTACAAAAGAATGAGGGGAAAGTACATTCAATTATCATAATGAATCTTGTGTTTTCTCGCTCATTAATTGGATATTGATTTGTGGAAAATCTAAAGCCTTTCGATTTTAGCCCCAACCCCCCCCCCACCCCAACCCCCCACCCCACCCACCCCCCACCCCACGCTGAGTGCTGTTTTGTTTCATTCCTGCAGCCTGGGTTTATTGTGTTGCCCCCCCCCACCCCCACAAGCTTTTTGCTGTGGTTTAATTATGCAATAATTAAGCGTCAATTTGGCAAAGTTATTGACTCGCACTACAGTCTCCCGCAGGGGACGGCGTTCAAACCGAAGCAATACTGAAATATTATTATTGTGATTATTGCAAACAGGAGTGATAAGCTCTCAGCCCCCTGTTGGACAAGCCAGGCTCCAGTGACCCCCGCATTCAAAACGAAAGGAGTCCCCCCCCCCCCCCCACCCTCCACACACACACACACACACTTTTTTTTTTGCTAATCACCCTTGTTACAGCGAGTGCGTTAATCTGGGTTCAATCCGTTTAGTGGACACTGTGAGCGGATTACAAATTAATAGGCGCGCAATCACAAACCAGGTTAAAAGATTGGAGAAAGAAAGAGAGACAGAGAGAGAGAGAGAGAGAGAGAGACGCATATGTTCCAATTTTGCTGCCCAGTATCCCAGTTTTCCAAGAGGGGTTTGAGCGAGGAAATTGCGTCGTGTCACTGATTTCCAAGTCGGGACCTGGACCAGAAATGAGCTTTGAACAAGGCATCTAATCAACCACAACAACAACAACAACGAGATTGCATTTGTATTAACGCCTTTTCACATCAGCCATATCGATAGGGTTGCAAACTTGACAATACTTTAAATGACACACAATTAAACATACGACGTATCATAGATTTCAAAGTTCATTTCAGCCCCAAAAAAAAATGCAGTGAACTCCACACCGTTTCCGTTAATCGAATGCATCACTGGGTTAGGTTTTTTGGGGTCTGGTGTGTGTGTGTGTGTGTGTGTGTGGTTTAGGTGTTCGTTTGTTTTGGGGCAATCGTTGAGTGCTATTGCACTGGAGAGTGTGTCCGTCTCAGTGCAGTGTTTGCATCGTTGAATTGTTTTGCTCGCAGAGGCAGTTACAGAGCCGAGGAGAGAGGAGCCCTCGAGGAGGCAGGAAAGACCGCCTCGGTTGAAGTACTCTGGAGTTTGTGTCAGCGGTGCTCTTTGTGCGGCTGAATGAAGAGGCGGAACGGGGCACAATGACGGCTCTCTGGCATTGTGAAGGCAGCCCTGGCGGTTATGGGGGTGAAGATGCTGACACATATGCCACTTGGCTACAAGTGCCTCTTGGACTCCACTTCCCCCACTCCCCCCTCTCTCTCCATCACTCACGTTACATTGACTGGACCAGCACTTTCCACCGTATATTTGAATATTCATGAGGTTGGATCACACGCGTTGTGGGTCTCAGTGAGTCCCAAAGCCTTTGTTTTGTTGGATTGGATGGGTGCGGGAAGAAAGCTCCTCTCCCTATTGTTAGCTGGTCTCCCCCCCACCACCCCCCATCGTTGTGTTCTCCTCTCCCTTTCCCTCCTCTCTTGCCTTTCATGACTTCACCTTTCCTTGTCCCTTCTTCCTCCTTGAAGTGAGATGCGAGACAGAGTTCGGGCACAAGGGAGAAGCGCCGCTGACCAGAGCTCTGTCCACCTCTGGCTGACGATTCTACTCTTCATCCATCAGTTTTCCTTCAGATCACACTGTCCTCGTGCTCACAACTTTCATTTTCTAAGTGTGACAACTGAATCACTGGACCCTCTATCCCCTTCCTCTGCCTTTGGATTGGGCAATGAAAAGCTAATTCGATCCAAATTTCTCAAGGCACTTTCTTCAATGTTCCCAACAAGTCTCAACAGCTATCACCTCTTCCCTTTGACAGCTCCATTTCCGTATCCAGCATTTGTGCACATTCTTAATCCATATATAAACTGGATTTCACACATAACATAATCCTTGCGTTTGATATAGTGCTTTTTCACATCTTCGAGGCGTCTCAAAGCGCTTCACAGAATATACTGTAAAAAGTGAACTGACTGTATATTTGTGGGCGATATGCAGTAGCCAAATGTGCACAGCAGCGTCTGCCCCACAAACAGTCGTGGATGGAAAATGATCAATTTATTATTGTTTTATTTTTTTTGGAGGAATTATTATTGGGCTCTGTCTGGAGTAAGGAAACTTGCCCGAGGTTTCGCCCTCTGCCAGGAATTGAACCCAGGTGTCTCACTTGCAAAGCGAATGCTCTAACCACTGAGCTACAGGACTCCATACTCTACCTCTCCATATAGAATTAGTGTCCTCTTTGGTATTGAATATTTCTCCTGTACAATTAGCTCCCTGTAGAGCCTACATTATTATTACATTCATCCAAGACTTGACAATTGCTCCCATCTGAGAAAACTCTTCCAACATCTCACACTCACCTAAACACCGATGTCAAGTCCTCCAAGACAAGACTCTTGAAGGACGCTTTATAAATGCAAGTCGTTGTTCCCAATCTCTTTTTGTTCTACACTTCAGTGCTGTGTTGACCTCTGGCCCTTTATATTGGCTGCGTAATAAAATACTGTAACCTGATATAAAAAAAATTACCCTTTTTAAAATATCTACATTGGGTTTTTAAGTGTTGACTACTGCCTGGATAACCCAAATTCACACTTTCAGCCAAGGTAAATTGTTACAGGCTATAAATTCACACTTGAATGATACGGATTCCACTTGTTGTGATGGAGTACACTTGCAATAAAACCAGTCGGGAACACTTTATGAAACACGTCGTCAGATCTTTGGCATTGAGTAGCCCCATGCAATCTAAATATGTTAATATCACTTGGCACAGGTACTCAGAGCAAATTTTGTAAAGAAAAAAATATTCCAAAATGAAAGGCCTTTTTCGGTACCTTTAAATCCTGTTTAACGACAACAAAGCCAAGATTCTTTGATATATAATGCAGTGTTCTTGATGTCTGCCTCAAACTGGTCTCTGCTCACCTGCAGCAGAATGGAAACCATCCTGTCATTACATTAGCTGCTGCACAACCCTGTTTTAAAACAGTGGATTTAGTAGGTCTCCAATATTTATGTACATTTGCAAAACCATACAACGGTGATTGCAAACATTGGACTGATTGACATTATGGTAGACAATGGTGTGCTCTTCCTGTTACTTGGTCTATGCACAAGTTCAATACTTACAGCACAAACGGCGCATGGACTGCTCAAATCCTACTTGCAGGTTAACAACTGGTGAAGCATCTGTACAGTTTTTTAACAGAACAGTTATGTCAAACGAACAGTCTTGCAGAATTACAACACAGAACAGTTTGTTTCGAATCACATAATTTCCTTGAATTTATTTAGTACAAAGGAATAGCTTCTCTCGGGTGGAGAAAATATGGCAAACATTGACCCGCGTGTCAAACAATATAGTTTCAGTAAACAAGGCAGCTTTTTAATAAATAGTTAAATTAAATTGGTCAGCAAATCCATGCCTTTCATCAAGTAATTTTATGATTTCTGAACAAGCAAACCAATACAAAACGCAACACAATTAATACTGAAATGGAAATATCCACCAGAGGTACGAGAGCTTTCATAAATTTCCTGTTTGCCCATAGTTCCCTGTCATCCTATAGTTAATACTGAACAAATAGATTTGCCGTGATCGTTTTAATACTAAGCCATTATTCCGAGTTGGGCAGAAGTTTAGGCACATCTGCTTGAAACGCAACAGGAGGTTTCTCTGTTTAAACTGAGCCACAGGTCAGAAACAACATATAGATTGGCTGGTGTTTGGTTTTCATTCAGATTTTTTCATATCAAAAATAAGTCACAATTTCTATTAAATAAGGTACTTTCAATGTTGTATTTTGATACACTTCAGGCTCCTGACAATAGTAGTTGAGAACAACACAGATCACATGCAATGCAAGTCCAATCCTAAAGTTCTGCCTGACAATACGTCTCAAGTGATTCCCAGCCAATTGCACCAACAATATTGGATATAATTACTCTTGTGGCCTTTCAAGCAAGAGATGACACGACTTGGAACATGTTTGAGGACATGCTCAGCTTATTTAAACCAGTTTAATGCTATGATCCTTGATACAACCTCAAACTTTTTGGTTACGGCTTCATTTGAACCCAGGTCTCCAAGCTGATAAGAAAAACTCCTGGAATGGATTTCACTTGCTTGTTTAACTTGCATACCAGCTCGTTGAGCAGTGAGGATCAACGGTCTGCTATTGCTGAGACTACCTCTCTGCTCTTTGAATTTAGCGCAGGGCAGTCTTTGAATGTGGTTCATAGATTACTTCATATATGCAAAGGAGAAGCAGGAAGTTGAAATTGCCCTGTTTGGCACCTCTATGGTATGTAAACCACGTATAAAAATAATCAAAATGGAATTGCCACACCGTGATACATCAATTCTTTTGCACAGGCAACCAGATAAAAGTGTACCAATTGCTACAGGCCCTTCATCAAAGAGTTAAGTTAACTATGTGTACTTTAAATATTTCTCGATATTCCATCAAATATTGTAGCTAGTCCTAGTTTGAAGCATCTTTTCAGTGGAAAAATACTTTACAAAAATATTAAAATTCCAGTGTTATTTCCTTAAAAAGGTCACTGGCTCCTCGGAAGTTGCAGGATGATCGTAAATTCTTCTTTAACAAACTGAAACATTTAAACCCATTCTTTGTTCCCAATTTTTTTTTCGTGCAAAATAAATTCTCCACAATTGGTTTTCTGTTGTGATCATCTTAAAGGTGTGGTTGTTATGTGGTCACAGGAAGAGAGAAAGGAAGGAGGGAGGAGTTTTTTTTAGGCAATTTGTCAACATCTCCACTGGAATGACTAACTATAATGCAACCGACTTTGATATCGCCCTAATGCAACACGGTTGAAAATTGTCTTTAAACGTATGGACGGGTGTATCTGGTCTTCCACCTTTTGGACCTAATTCGGAAGTAAAAGTACATGATCATTAAAAAGAAGCAGGACGCTGCATACAGAACAACACACAGACTCATGTCCACATTTGAAAATCCGATTCCAAAAAACGAAACTGACTGTTTAGATTCTTTCTTCGGGCCGATTATGTCACGATCACCCGACTTTCTCTTCACGTCGGCCAGACTGCTTGCTTTCTCTAGCTTCTCCCCAATGCCAGGTCTGGTGTTTTGGGCTAGGATTTGCAGATTATCCTCCTTTCTCTGATGTGTTGTCACTTTCTGTCCACCCTCACGCCCACGGCTTTCTGCCGCACCGTTTGCTTTGGTCTCGTCTTCAGTATATCTGTAGGAAAGGTTGTCTGCACCATAATGGGACTTCAAAAAGGTCAGAACATCTGCCTCCTTCCATACATGGAGGCCTTTGACCTCTTCATGACAGTCAGGGCAGAGGTCAGGATTAGGCCACGACACTTTAGGGAACTTTGGGTCTTCACTTGGAGCACCTAAAGGGAACAAATAATATGGATTGAATTATTTATATTAAAATCATAAAGTTCTCTCACTTTTTCCTCCTTTAAAATTACATTTTAATCGATAAGCATTTCAAATGGTCAGCAATGGCGTTCATGATACCACATAAAGTTTTGCTGTATTGTTAACATCTATCAGAGTTTAATATGGCCCTGACTATGTCATGACCAAACCACCCTATACATTTCCAGACCTCTAATCTATTGGATGAAATTAGTTTTTAATACCGGTTTTCCTTAATAAAATTTGCGTTCACGTTTCATCTGGTCAAACCCACTCAAAGCAACTGGTTAGATATCTTTCTCAGAACAAGCAGTTGATCTTTAGATACGGGCAATGCAATTACTGCGCACTTTCAGTCACAAGGCATAGATCCACATATCAACCTCTTTCTGCACTAAAATAAGAAAGACATCTTCTGTGTCATAGGGTGAACACAAGGTCACTTCCAGATTTCCGTGCAATGCAGCAAGTGACATTGGCAGTGACCTGATGACCCAGAAGTCTTTTTTTTATTAAGCACAGGAAGTTAAAATTGTCAAATTCTGGATTATTAGGTTGTCAATTTCCTGCTTTGCACAAGAGCAACAACTCAGAAAGTGACAGCGACCTAATAAACCAGAAATCAGCCATTTTAGTGTGAAAGGCCGACTGCTGGTATGTGCAAAGAACGGGGACCACAGTACAACCAAATTTGCATGATCGTGAAGCAGGTTATAATGGGGATGTATTGTACAACCATATTCACCCCAAACATTTAAGGGAGTATCCCTTACAATTACAGTGGAGACTCACCTTAAAGTCACTGCCCTAATGTGGTCAACTCACTGATTGAATTTTATTGCAGGCATTTTAATTTAATACACTATATGGTACAGTATAATACAATCTAACTTTTGTGGGTCAACCCATTAATGTGTCAAACTTAGTTGTCCATTTGCTGATTTTACAAGTCAGTTTCCACTGCACTGTCGATATTACAAATACCTGTGTGAGGTATAATAAATAACAATAAATATAATAATAAATGCCCCATCATTAGCAGGGGGCGGGTAGGAGGTGAGTCACGTACATTCCCTCAACAAAGCAGGAATATTGCCTTTTATAAAATCCGAAAGCTTGGGTACACAAAAATTAAACCATGTACAAAACAGAGAGCTAATAATTCCTGAAAGTTTTATGCATACTTACTTACCTAAAGGTAAGTTCTGACGGATGTATTGTTCTGATTTAACTGCCTCCTCTACCAGCTGTTTCTTTGAAGCCTTTTTGTATAGGCCAGGAGCCTGGTTAACAATTCATTGCAACACAAGTGAAACAAAACCCAACTGGCTTCACTTTGTAGGCTGTGAATGTGGGGCTTGCCCATTCATTGCTTGCTGGCTGACAGATGACAGGTTCTATGTCATAACTCTCCAGAGAAGGAAACCAGGTCGTACTTTTGAAACTTAACCGGTCTCCTGGGTGCCACAGTAACCTTCGTTCACTTGACATTCTTAAACAATTGGTTGGAAAAACATGAGAGACCCAAAAGTCCTGCACTGCTTACAATGCAGAACTTTTTTTTAAAAAATGACACAGCTGTCTGGTGGAACATAGCCTACATTTCCTCCACTCCACACAAAACAGACTGCTATTCACTTCTATGGGCATAAGCACACAAGCAGCCAGTACAAGTCGACTGATACAGCTGCAGCTGCGGAGGACAATGAATTTGTGCACACCCCTGCTGTGGTGTTATTGTACGTTTGTCAGTATCAATCATTGTTCTCACCATTTGGCCTTGTGTTAGTAAATGGGACCTATTTTATGGATCATTACACAGGCTTGGGTATTCAGTATATGGTATAGATAGGAAAAAATACATATAGAATAAACTGCGTCAACAAAGCCTAAATGGGAAGGCCAGGCTGCCCTCTAAGGGTGGCCCTTCACAAAACAAGTTTGACCCATCTGTATTGAGTTGCAATAATTCAGAACCCACGCTTCACAAGCAACCCTCTCCTTTTCTTCACGACATTAGCAAAACTGCACTTAAACAGCCCACTCGCATTCAAGTGGTAATTGAATACAACTCATAGACAATGATCTTGCTCAACAATGGAGATGCCGAACAAAACATTAAATTTACATATTACATGTTTACAACTCCACAGTATGTGCATGGAACAGGGTTCAGCAAATCATTGTTCCAAGCTGTACAGCATGATGAAAAAATTCCCTCTAATAGAATGAAAAGGGAATTTTTGTGGCCTAGATTAGATATTTTAAAAAGAATGTGGTCCCTTTTTGTTAGCATTCATCGGCTATAAAAAGGCATTTCCAAAATGTCCCGGTTCACTTGTCTCAGTCATTCAGAAACGTTGGAGATGACAGCAGGTTGAGAGAAGCTAGTTACTACGGAGCAGACACCTTCCTGCCAGATGGTCAGAGGTTCAAGTCCCCAAGATGGCTGTGACTTGTGTCTGCCTAGCACCATTTAGGAGTGTTTTCTCAGGATTAAACAAGGCGCTGGAAGCAGTGGCACACTTTGCCATGTTGCTTCACTAGCATAATGGGGAGGGGGGAAGAGAGAGAAATCAGCGGAACGAGCAAGTGTGCTGGCTCTTATAACCCCAATTTGCTGTGCACAGTAAGCAAATGCAATAATGATGTGTAGTATAGTCTACATCCTTTAGCTCACAAGGATGAGAACAAACCTTTACATCCAAGTCTGCTTTGGATAGCTATGGCAGCCAGGTCCCCTCATAGTTCATTCAGTTCCAGTGCGTACTTTCTTCCACAGACTATTCGTTTTGAAGGTTGAAAATGTTATATTGTTGATTCTCATTTTACAGTGTACAAATGTCTAAACACTAGAAATCTTCCAATATGAGCAGAATACAGTCTGCACTAACACAATCTTGAATGGAGCTGTATTTTTGACGGTGCTAACTCTTACCTGCTAATCTGCTGTTCACTTCATTGTGTTTTGTCCAGAGCCACAGAATAGCACTGTCCAGTGTCTCTACCTTATCCATAGATTCTTTTGCCATCTGCTCAAAGTGCTGTGCACACTCCATGCAGCCAAAGAAATGATGAATGTATCTTCTTATAACCTGCAGAACTATCTGAGGACTATCGTCAAAACCTAGATGGGATGGAACAATAATAAATTGTAATCGCATAGCAAAGACATCCTCGTGTCTAGATTCTTAGATTTACAGGAAATCTGATGAATACATGAAATTCAATTTACATGAAAAACTTTATACATTTGAAAACAAAACTATCTTTCACTGTGACAACATGACATCTGAGGGATATGAGATTCTAGGACCAAAATAACCATCACTGCCCATCCGGAAGGTCCAAACTTAAAATAATTATATTTTATTGAAATAGTTCAAATAAGAAAATGATTTCTACTATCACTGGATCACCAATTTGATCTTGCATTTTGAATTAAAAATGAGTCNTTTTTTTTAAGAGGATACAAAAAAAAGCATTTGAAGGTAACAGATCCGGCCTTTGTGACCAGTTTTCTTTTGTCGAAGTTATTGCTATTAACAGGTGAAGGGCAGCTGCAACTCTATTAATAGAAATACTAAATCACATAATTTTATATGTGCTACAACTTGACTTTTTTCTTTGCAGTAATTGTCAGCATTTCAATTTAGGAAATGGAAGATCAGCAAGCCTCACATTAAAAATTGGACTCTTCCAAATAGATAACTTTTCAGAAGTAAAACCAACCTTATCATTGGTGTTAGTGGAGAAACTGAGCTAAATGGAAAGATATTAAATCACAGCTCCTAGCAACAAACACAAACAGGGTTTGAGATAATCCTTTCTGAGCACCAGTACTGGAACAAGACATTGGACTAACCTAAACAAAGACCAATCTAACTCACGTCCCCCATTTCAAATGGAATAAATCAAAAAGTTATTTTCCCAATTTGAGGAAGTAATACTGACAAGCAATGATGAGCAAAACATAAAATACACAGTAATGCAATTCTTTACAGATTACTTGAACAAACAATTGTAGTTACTCTAAAATTACCGCTAAACCCGTAACCATGTCCGCTCAGCTAAAGGCAACATATGATCCCACGTTTGTCCTCAAAAACAGTCACTCCACTTTACAGTATATCCTGTGAAGGGCTTTGAGATGTCCCCCAGACATGAAAGGCACTGTATCAAATGTAAGGATTGTTATTTTCCCATCTTTCTTTCACATTTAAACATTATAGATTATAGATTGCCAGCATTAGTTTTTTTTTATATAAATTGTATGTATCCAGCTTTTCTTAATTTCTACTGAAGATCAGGTCTCTGTTCAGTCAGAATCTCACGAGAATTGGTGATCCCATCTCCCTGGACTATGAGTAGATGATTGACTTGGTTACTTCCTTACATAAAGCTAAAATTTTATTCCTCCTAATTTGCAGTTGATTATTGCGTAAAAAGCACATTGTACCAGATATTCTTATCACTACTTTGAATTAATTTTGGATTTAACTTCAAATTGCAACCCATTTCCTTCATATCATTCAATGTGGCCATGTAACTAAAACATACTAACATAACAAAAATTGGAAGATCTTAGTAGAGATCTTCATTCACATGTTCACTCATGCGATTATATATAAATTTGCTGATATTATTGTCATACCATGTTCTGAACCACTGCCCCCCATTCACAATAAATAATCACAGGAATCTATGCCGGCATCACCTTTTGATCGCACAGCTAATAACAAAAACTCACTCTAAAATGGTTCGGGGATTATTTTACTGCAGAAATGTTGTATTCCTTACTTAGGATGTCACAATGCTAAAATCACTATTCATTAATTGAATCGCTCAGATTCTGGTGGATTCTGAAAATGGGAACAAAATTGTAGCACTGATGCAGTAGGGATTTGTTGGGGACAGGTTGTGCTTTGCTGTGCATGTAACCCATGTTGCACATGACATTGATGGTGAGGCAATAGCTGGATATTCCTCTCGTCTGTGAAGCACTTTGAGACGTCTCAAAGATGTGATAAGGTGCTATATCAAATGCAAGGATCATTACTTTGAAAAGCAAAAAAGAATCAGAAGTCCTAGTGGTAGAACATCTGAGCCATTGCCTACCTAGTATAAATTCTCCATTTTGATAAATTAATGGGAGGGGAGATGATGAAATACAAAATTCATATCCGTCACTGCAAACATTTAAGTGGGTCTGGCTTTACAATAGGAAGACAGCAAATTTAATTCCATTCATCAAAAAAAAAATTTCAATAGCCAGCAAGATTTTGTATTTTATGTAAGAATTTACAAAACACTTAATCATTGCCTTTGGTACAATGAAACGATCTCCTACACATTTTGCACAGCCTGAATACAGCAAGTCCGAATACACTACTGAAAGCCCAGTAGCTTGTTTTACTGGTGCACAAACGTTTTGTCACAAACTGTGCAAATCTTGTTGGGACTTTTCTTTGTCAGTTAAAAGATGGGATCTACACTTGATTAATATACACCATGTTTTAACATGTAATCCTCCTTATTCTTATCCTTGCTGCCTCCACCCCTGCTCCCTGCAATTTAGTTTATCCTAATCTTTAAAGTGGACAATAACCTAAACCCACCTGCAGAGTGGGATTAAAGGATGTTCACTGGATGCAAAGGATAAGTAATAAGGAGTAAAAATGTCTACACATAATCCAGCTGTCTCGATTTGACCCAATTCTTTAAATAGTGCAACAAGAGTAACTCTCAATCTATCTCATTACTTTGAGTGTCAAAGTCAGGCTGCATGGAAGCAAATAAAAGGTAAAGAGCAGATGATAATTTATTGCCACTTAATTACAAATCTGGTAGGATTACCATTGATACGATTTGTTTTTTTTTAAAAAAACTTTACATTCAAACGAAAGCCATTCTTCTGGGTCCATCTTCCAGATACATCTCTGAAGTCTGAAGGCCATGAATTAATAACAATACTTGCATTTGATACGGCTCCTTATCACTGCATTATAAACTCATCAACAAATATTAATGTGCAGTCACAAACTACATATACTACTAATTTATAGCATGATTTTAAATTAGTTTAAAATATGCTTCTTTTGTCAATTATTTAGAACTAATTTAATAGTTTTTTAGTTATCAAATTGTATTTAACAGCACCTAAACTGTGAAACCGTGGCAATTTCAAATAAATGATTTGCCCTCTCATTGAAACTGTTTAAAATTCTTGGGTACAAGATTACCGAATGAGACAGGGTTACCAGAATGAGTCCAAATGCAAATGGAATTTTCTTGTGCCACTTTCCAGATCACAAGGAACAGGCAAGAGCTTAATCCAAAGAGAACAGATGGCAAAGTGTACTACACCCTTGCAGCTCTCCCTCACTCTCTCTCATACACACACTTTTTTTTTTAAACAGTCTCCCCACATTTGAATTTGGTTTGTCTTTCCATCTTTCATGATCGGGTTCTGTGGTATATTTCATAATGTTACTGGGATTCATTCAAGAAAATTATGATAGACATGTTTTCCCTTACAAAACATAAAAGGTGCTGTCTTTATCCAAGAGTACTTGATATCCCCACGTAGGGGAGACTTCCATTAGCTCAAGGGAAATTGTATTTTAAAATATTCCATTATTGCAAGTCATTTGATCTTCGGCATAAGCAATTTCTGTTTACCAAGAAAAAGTAGCATTGAAAATTACTTTAAAATAAGGTATTTTACCAGAATTTACTAGAATTTCATGACGCTTTGCAGCTTGCACAGTCAAGGTATGGAAGAGCGTCCACAGAGAACATGGGTAGCCTCTGTATAGGGATTTGCTGCCCTGACAGCTGACCCACTGTATGCGATTTGTGAGAAACATTCCAGATATCTGCAAAAGGAATAACACACAAGTAAATGTCTGCAGAAAAGGTGGGGGGGGAATGAGAGGAAGAGAAAAAATGTTTCTTTAGAAATCTTCAAAACACTTTTCCAAACTGGAAATTTTCAGTAACAGACTGCAAGGTTGGCAAAATGTCAGCCAAGGATCCAGTAGGTGTCAGTATTCACGTGGAACAAAGAAAGGTGGTTGGGAGTGGAAATGGCACATGAAGAATGATTACTTGGGTGAGGGAGCGGAGGGTTGTCGACAGCACACGCTGGAATGTACTCCAGTAAGCCAGCATAGAAGGAAGAGAAAACATGCCAAGAACAATTAAAAAGAGGAATATTCTTGTATGCTTTGGTCTCATGGTATTTATCAAGGGTGGGTACCTTTTGTTCTTGTAGTTTTAATAGAAGGTGCAGTTAGCTTAAAGATCCACTTCAAACTACAGTATCCCTGTTCAAATTGATATTCTTTCAGAAAGATTAGAGTGAATCCCTGAGCTAAGCGGCTAACAGCAGACTTTTCAATTCGTGCAACTAATGGGTCCCTTATTAAAGCTTTAATCTGACAACATCCGGACTGTGCCACTGTGAGTGCACTTCCTGTCAGTCGATCATGGCAACGCCCTCCAGGAGGTTCATGACCTGGGTATACCCCACTTTTACAATTAAAATGCCTTATGTACATGAATGAGAAAAAAACAGTACAATTCATTTTGGTGGTTAGTACTGTACCTGAAGATATCCAAGGGATGATAACAAACTCGCTTTTTTGGGGAGATTACGCATGAAAGCAAATGCTACAAAGAACTTTATGAAAATATAATGGATTAGAAATAAAATGTGTATGCAAGAATGGCAGCTAACGTGTGCTCAAAACATCCCATAAAACAAGAATAGCCAATTGATTTAAATTTGGATTAGGAGAATATAAAATTGAATAGCCACAAGAGAAAGAATCCCCTTTTTTTAAAAAAATATAGAAGCAGGAAAGTCCCTTTACATCCACCTGCATTACAAAGTTGACAAAATCTAAAATGAATCATCAAACAATGGATAATCTGGAAATAAATAATACAATTGTATACAACAGACTGTTGGGGTTGGATTAAACCTGTATGTACTATTCCTGATTTGTGGGGACTGGGCACATTTCCTACAAGGTGGTAGATGAGTAGCTAGGTGACCTCAGGAAAATGCATTCCATTCCTAGTGACTAAAAGGCTAAATGTACATAGCACCCTAATCAAAAATACCATTTTGTTTTTAAAACAATTAAAAGGGTTCCTAATACTGTACAAAACAAATACAATATAATGTATTATATGGAAGGTATATAGGCTTTTTCCGTCAGGCAAGCCACAGACAATTGTGAATCGAGCCTGGGAACACCCTAGCCTGGATGGCTCAACCACTCGCTGGTTAAATATGGAGGGTGAATTTGGAAAGTTTTAATATAGAAGCTTTAACGAAAAGAAATATAAAAACAAAAAAGAGTAAATTGTACTCCTTAAAAACGTGAACCAAGTACCTTGATCACATCATGCAATTAGCACAAACCACTGGAGAATGGCGATATACCTAAAATAAACTTACCGCACTTGCAGCAATCAACTTTATCTTTTATTGTGGTGTTGTGCATTCAGTATTTTTATGTGAAACCCTTCATGCAACACCACTCAGCAGCTTTTTTTCTTTCTTTGCTGCTCAAGAATCCCATCCAGTATTTTGGAAGATAACAGCACTTACCCTCATTTTGTTATTGACCAAATCTAGGATTGCATCGTAAGGGATTTTGTCTAATGGAAGGCTCACGAGCCATTCCTGCAGGGTTTCCAGCAACTTCACCACCGGCTGCCGACCAGGGAACAGCTGGCCAAGACAAAAAAAAGAAAATCACCCGCCATAAATGTGGAGATCCTTCTTGAATCAAACAATGTTTAAAATGTCTTCTAATGCAAAGCCAGTCTGATAGTTATTAGCAAAGCTCCTTATTTGGGGGATGGGAGAAAAATCCTATTGTCAAGATATTGTTTCATCCAAGGACCACATCACTAAGGAAATACATAATTTATACTGAGTAATTTTGAAGTTAACCAAATGCTACTCTGCCAGCCACTGAAAGATACGTGCGCACTATTTCCTCCTATCTGTACCACCCACTGGTGTGACAGCTGAGGCTGGAACCAGTGTAATAACACCAGTTACACTTCTATAGTTTACTTCACACAAAATTGATGACTAACAAATATGAATCCAGGCCTTGAAATGCCAAAACTTCAGAGCTATATGACATTGCACTGTAGAGACAATTGAGAGCACGCAGTACATGGAGAAAACAAAGAACAGTTTATCATCTTGAGATACTAAAATTCCTGTGTACTGTAATAAAACCAAAATTATAAAGCATCAGATAATACTTAAAGACACTCACTATAGGCATCATCACAGAATATACTCAAGTCAGTTTTCACACACACCTTGACTCATCTAATCTCAGGATTGGTTTCTCATAAACCATTCAGGTTTTACTGTTTATTGCATTACCTAAGACCTTTAATGAGATTACGGCATTATGAAGATTCTTAGATATCCATTATTGTTAATGGGTTCATTCAGAAACAGTTGGTATCACCTTTGATGGCATAGCAACTCTCCATAGGCAAAACAGGTGTACCATAAATACAAATGTTAAAATGTTAAGAATGCAAAATATAAACCCAAGATGATCATTTGGATGAGAAGTTTAGAAGGAATATGATAGTTTGCAGATAGCTGTTCTGAAGGCTTGCTCAATTTACCATTGAGGGAGTAAGAGACCCCTTGTAGAGCTCAAATTTGGCTGGATTCTATACGCTTTGAGAATGACATGGCTTGGTGGGACAAATGGCTGTAACTCATTATCTTAAATGCATATAAAGACTCTGCCCACCCCACTGTCCTGTTCCTGGAATCTCTTTCTCTTAAAGCGCAGCACAATATCTACCTTGAACTTCTACAATAACAGATGCTACATTTCACTGCTCCATTAGATCGCCTTCTGTTGCTGAGGCACATCTGCCAGTTGTTTGTAGCTGGTTTTGTACTTCACGAGATTAACAAACTACATTACAATTCCCAAGAGGACCTTGCAAGCAAGTTTATTTGATTTGTGAAACAAATATATGTAATATCTCATTTATGCTTCAACCTAGTATCACAATCAGGATTTAGCATACGTTTGCAAGTGGATTAAATACATCTCCATGTATATTACTGAACAGTTCAGCAACCATATTTTCAAGAAAATATTATCTGAGTTCAATACAATTTAATTAAAATTTAATCAACATTAACTAGAATGAGGAACAGTATGAACTTAAGTCACTAGCAAATTTGATATGGTTGGTATAAAGAAATAATGACAATTGCATGCATCTTGAATGTAGTGGAATGGAATTAAATAAAACGAAGTCAGAAGCGACTTATTGAAAAAAAGATTTACATTATACTTTCTCCAGACTATAGGAATTATTTACTCTGAAGACTAAAGGTAGTAACTTTGAGAAGAAGTCCCCAAAGATATATCAATAGCATTTTTCCATTTCCAATTTGAAAAGCTTCCATTGAAGAAAGACAAGTAGAGGCGAGCATGCAAGGATCACATAGATTCTAAAAGCTAATAAGATGCACTAAATCCTAAGACAAGAAGAGCTTCAAAATAAATAAAAGAAAGGCAACTGGAAGTGCAGTACAACTTTTTTTCAGTAAAATAGACATTAGGCATATAGCACAAACTACTAGTACAGGTAATGGAACAAGGAACTGGAAATCATATAAAAAATGAACTAGACAAGGTTTGGTTATTAGATAAGATTCTAGGATATTTTATGGTAAGTTGGTTGAAGGAAACTTTTGGGAAGTTGGATGGGCAGGCGAGATGAACTAATGGTTTATTGTTGTCCGAAAGTGTTACTGGTAAACATTCAGAAAATAAAATAGAAATTTAAAGGTGGTGGCTAAATAAGGATTACCCCAGTTCTACTTGTTTGTTAGCTCTGGGTTGATTCAGCACAACAGAAAAGCAGAAGAGTTTTGATTTGAATGACATGGACTCAATTATAGGTCCATTTTCCAAACCAGCTCCAGAAGATGGTTTCAGAATAAAATCAATGTACATATTAGGACAATTGCAGCTAATGCAAAAAAGTGATACACTATGTATATAAAAAAAACAATTAGAAGGTCTCTAACTGTCCTCAAAGGATTTATTACTGGAGAACCAGTTACACTGCAGCCTCTAATAGGAAAAGAAACAAACCAATGTTTGGCGCTGGACTTTCCTTGACTTGAGGCCAGGGAGAAAGAATTCAAACTGTAATTTCAGGGACCAGCTCCAAAATCACTATCACTAAAAGTGAATTTGCATTGTCTTGTGCATTGGGGTGTAAGAAAACAATGATTCTATTTTAATTTAATATCCAAATGTAGAGCAACATGATTTAAATATTTTCATTTCAGCATGGTAGTGTTCCTTAAAATCCCATCTGACAATTTAAACCTGACAATCTTGAAGAGTCTGGCGTTTTGAAAAAATTAGTCTGAAAAGCCTGATAATCCCTGCTGTCAGTTTGAGGGTCAAATCTGTAGATGGCCTGTTTTCCTTTAAGAAAGTGCAGCGTTAATCTGGCTATTACATTATCTCTCTGAATACTCTCAGCCAACCAAACGCGGTTTAGGTGGAAAGATATTTGGGACTAAAGATTGTGCCACTATATAAAATGCATGATTCGTCAACTTTAGAGGATCATGTGTACATCCAAAAAAATCCACAAAGAACTCAGTTGGTATTATTTATTCCCCCCTCCCAAATTAATTATTAAGTTCCGCAAACATTGGAAAACTAACAAAAATGCATACGCCCACCCCCCTCCCCCAATACATTAACAAACAACAGCAACATATAATCCCTTTAAGTGCTACTTTCTTTAGAGAACAGCTAGAATTTTTTTTTCTTGTGGTTTTTTTCCCCCAGAGCTGAGTGCTGTGGGCACTTAGGATAATTCCCAGGAGACCTCCAAAGCTATTGAAAATATGCCATCTAGAGAGTAAGACTCCTTTTTGAACATTCTGTGTGTGTTGGATGGCATGAGTCAAGAGAGCATTTTTAAAATTGTAGGACTGCAAGCACATCCTGACTGTGCCAGTATCAGATTCAATAATAATAATAATCCTTGCATTTGATATAGCACCTCATCACATCTTCGAGACGTCTCAAAGCGCTTCATAGAATATACTGTAAATTATTCAAGGCTGGCTGTTCCTTCACATTCTTAGGAACTTAGCTACTGAATTGAGGCCCTGGATTTAAAATCCTATGCATAATTTCTTGAAAGCTTCACTCCTAAAGAAAGCCTACCTTAACTTTTGAGTTTTTAGTGTGCCATTAACCTCTACATACTAAATAAAGGAGAATTTCAACACCAATTAAAGAGAAAACAAGATCGAATGGCTTCAAAATTGTTGAAACAGTAACTGGGCTCTGTAGGACAATTTCAAAAATCTAGACAATTTCCCTAGTTTGACTTTTCAATATTCCCCAGTTATTCAAAAGAAATTGTTTTCATTTAGTGTTCAGCTTGTTTTCTCCTTTAACTTCCTCTGCAGGAAGCTCCACTCACTTTTATACAGAGTACGTATGAATAGCTAAGACCAGCTATTCCCCCCAAAAGTATCAATATTTCAAGCAGTAATTTAAAGAGTAAATTTTAAAAAAAGCCTTTAAAACAGAGGTCAGCCATTTGCATGCGACGAAGAATGATATGCTGCGATCTGCTAGGCGGGAAGGGTGCATAAAGTAAGATAACCAGGTCAGTTCATTGCTCGGTTCGTTGCTTTCTTCCAATCCCCATAGAATGTCTCGGAATCAGAAGTCACCCTCCCGTGGCCTGTGGAGAATTACACCACTTGTCCCAAATGAATACTGTACAGATTCTCAACAGCGAGTGTTCAAGCTAGCCACCATCTGCTTTGTAAGGCTACTAGGTCACCCCAGAAAATCTGCATTTTTAAATCTGTCTGTGGTTTCAGGATAAGAAATAATTAGTACTCCCCCCACCCACCCTCAGAAGACTGTAAATGACCCAGATCTGACTGGATTGAGATGATAAACAAAAATCACTGTTATTGTGCATTTTAATCCTCCTTGTACACATTCACAAACTTCATTGGTAAATACATAATATAATTTTAACAGTCGAACGTCTAAGCAGACTAACATGCTTCTGATGTTTAACTGTTTAAACCAATTGGTTTAATAGATATAAAAAAAAGCTTTGCTTGTACAGCCTTTATTACTCTTTGCTTAGACATTTAGGTTTAACAGCATTTACATGGGTGCAAATCAATTGCTGTTGGAAAGGATTTCAGTTCTATAAGTGAGTAATTTTGGAAATCTCTCTAAAGAGTAATAGCACAGGACAATAACAAGGACGCAACATCGGCACAGAATGTTGACATGGATATGGAATCTCCACACTATGACTTTCCAATCTCCCCATCTCGCCTCAGGGAACCGGCACGGACCTCACTATGTAACAATTTTTGTTAATTCTTTAGATGCAAATAATGTTAAAACTGGAAAAAATATCCATTTAAAATAATTTCAGCTCCAAATAGATTTTCATATTCTGCTCAAACAGTAGAATACAGAACTCATTTTATTCCCCGCTAAAATACGCCAATATTAATCAAGATTAATACAAGTTCAACTTGACAATTCTGGTTGAACTTTCAGTTTATTTCTAAAATTTAACCTCTCTCTATATACATATATATTATACATATATATATATATATATATATAATTAGCTGGCTTAGAGAAACCCTTTTCAGGTGAATTTGGATCTTCTTCAATTCTTTATCTTCAGCAGTGGAATGGAACAGGTGGATGGATAATCTTATAATATAAAACTATATTTCTTGTAAATTCTCCCAATGAAATAAGCGATAAAAAAGTTGTAAAAGCGGTGAAGTTCTTGTGTCTGAGGAAAATTAGGTGGCCCGTTGGGAGGTAAATCATGCTTTTTTCCAGCATATAAATCTGAGTAGATATTTTGCAGAAAGTTCTCTAAGGCATTTAGAGTCAATCCCTGATCTTAATCTCCTAAAACAGAGAATGTTGAGTGACGTTTCTTCAATCACCACAACGCTCTTGATTTCTACTCTGTTATTAAATAGTTAGTATATGCTGGAGGAAAAACCTTACTTCGTAGACACTTTATGTACTGATTATTCAGTTGGTGCACTTGTGCAGATAAGAGTTTCCACATACTGGAGACCTGAGGTTTATGGTCTAAGCTCCACACCTTTCCTCAGTTTAAGCAAAGACATGAATTCAATGTCAGTGCTAAAAATCATCCGACTATTGTGGACTTACCTTCGAAAGGATTGCAACAAAATCCTTCAAGGTCTTCAATTCTGATCCCTCCAATATTTTGTGACTAGCAAGCTCTACGCGTAGGAGATAATGCAAACCAGACTCCAGGTCAGCCATATACATCTTCCTCCTGAAAAAAAAAGTTTCGGGTTTATTTTCTATGTCAACCAAACTTGTAAAAACACCTTCAGATGATTTGGGTTAAAAAGGTTGCACAAAAATACTTTAAAAACAATTTAGATAATGGGCAAAGAGAAGAAATTGTGCACCAATATAGATTTGATAAATATGCTACAATAAATTTTACTTTCGAGCTGCCTTGTTTTTTTTAAAAAAAAATCTGTACATCGATAAATAAAGAAGCCAAATCAAGGCATCTGACGGAACCTGGTTTGTATTCCAAATAAAGAGCAACATTAGCTCTCAGCAATCTTCACCTACCGAGTTTAAAGCTCTCATAAATTTCCATTACTGGCAAAATAGTAATGCTGCTATTTTTTCCTCCAGTTACTTCTATTTTGTCCATACAAAAACCACATTGGGCTTGTGTAATATATGAAGCTGCACTACCCTGCCCACCCATCAGGTGGCGGAACTGTATTCTCACAGCACAGCTGTTTTCCAGCCTCCCAGATCATTCTACCTGGTTTATATTTCCCTCCTGTTTTATCCTCAAATTCAAATTAAATTGATTGCTCAACTTATGGGACCGTGGCTGACACAGATTAGTTGCTGTGTTAGCCCACATAGCCTATTATTTTTTTTTTTGATTATGTGAACACAATACAAGTTATCATTCAATTTCATTCCCCTAAAAAAAATATGAATTTGTTGCCATTGGTTAGCAAGTCAGGTTGTGGACATTCCCACAGAATAACAATAATATAACGCCATGCACGTTGGGAGGACATCTCAAAGTGTTTCATACAACAGACTGGGAGCTTTTCACACGGTCCAATGCCTCAAAATCAACTGAGTTGGTAAATCTGATTCCCAATTAAGAGAAAAACAGATATTATAAGGCAACCTTCCAACCTGACACATTGCAAACAGACGATATTTCATTTTGTCTCAGGCAGTACTAGATCAAGGCCACTAATTATTAACTGCTCTAAATAAACTAACTGAGCATACTTACTTGTCAAACTCCTTCCACACATTCAGAGACGTATGGGTATCTTCATTTTGGCTAACGGGTAGAGTCCTTAAAGAGGAGAGTCTTTTTGTAACCCCAGACAGTGACTTTATGTAGGAAGAAAAGAATGACCGCAGGGGCTTCTGCCTGTTTCAGAAAACAAACATTTAATCATTAAATGACGGGCCAAATCAAAACAAATATTTTATGGTAGTTAGTAATTTAATTCTTTACATGACTTTCCAGTCATGATTTACCAATTCTTTATTTATTTATTAAATAAATAAATTGATCACTTCAAGCCACGACTGGTTGTGGGACACTGCTGTACGCAATTGGCTGCCGCGTTTCGCCCACAAAATATACAGTCAATCCGCTTTATAGTATATTCTGTGAAGCGCTTTGAGACGTCTAGAAGACATTAAATGTGCTGTATAAAATGCAAGGATTATTATTGTTATTATGCCAAATTCGTAGGTATCAGTTTGTAGCACTTTCATCTCTGGTGCCAACTTTCGCACATCGGGATTTGAGCTCGCAGTCTAGGCTTCATTTCAATGCACTACTGGAGAGAGCTACATTGTTGGGAGGCGACATCCTTCAGATCAGATATTTAAACACTGGGTATCTTTTGCTTGTATAAGTGGAAGTTAAAGATCTTACAAAAAGAGAAGGGCGTTTCTTTATGTCCAAACCAATAATCCTCCAGATTAAATTATGTCATTTGCCTCATGGCTGCTTTGGGGCTTTTTCTACGTGACAAATGGCTGCAGTTTTTGCGTACAAAATAAAATCACAGTAATTTCTGCAACTTGCTTCAACACGTTTTGATGTTAAAGATACTATAAAAAGCCAAGATCTTTTATCTGTATCTAAATAGACAGATAATAATCCTTGCATTTGATATAGCGCCTTATCATGTCTTCGAGACGTCTCAAACTAATCATTAATAATTTTGACAGAACGATGTACTATATATGTTTTTACTTAGTTCAAATTTGCAGCCAAAAATACACGCAAAAAATGCACAAGGACTGATAAAACCAATTATATTTGAAATCTTTCTTGCCAGCTCAATATTTCTGGGAAGGGAGTTAAAAAACACCAAGGTTACTGTGGATAAAATCAGTGGTAGGTTTTGAGATAGCTTCTAAAGAGTAAAAACTTCCAAAAACCTGCTCCTGTGCAGTTTCCTATTGTGTTATGATTGACAACAGATTTCTTTTGTTTTTCTATCACATTAGCAACATCACTTACATATAGACTAATCCATGGGAACCATTGGGATGGAACACGTAACAAGAAGGCACAGAATTGATGCCAAGCTTCTCCATTAATTTTTGGTCGACATCTAGCCCCCGTTTCACGACAATATTTTCATACTGCATCAAATCAAGGATTACCTGCACGAAAGGAAACATGAAGATTTGAAATCTATAAAATCAGAGCTGGATATTAAACAGCAAATTTCAGATATTTAGTCGTAGCTGCTTTTCAACTCTTTCACGTTTTAAAGTCAAACAAGAGATCAGAGAGAGAAGAATGCAAGATGCGCAATAGATGCTGACAAAGCTAAGCATAAATATGCTAAAAATGTAAATTCTTTTAAAGCAACAAAACCGTAAAAAAAAATTATTCCTGTCACATTGATATGTAGAACAAAATTACTAATTAAGCAGTGCACCACTTTGTTCTTGGAGAAAGGTCGGGGGGTGGGGGGGTTGGAGGGAACAAAGGAGGAGAGAAAACTCACCTCTCGACCTACGTAAGACGATTCTTTTTCAAACACAACAGCTGTATAATGCTTCTGAGGTTTGTCCAATAAGGACAGAATAGAACTAGAACTAAAAGAAAAATATTTTAATGACCTTACATTAAAAGAAGCATATATTGTCAGTCATGTAACAATCTGCACTTCAATGTTAAAAAAGGGTTATATCTTTTTACATGACAAAATTGATAACCAGAACACAATGCACATACATTGTTCAACAGATTTCTCAATAATCCTGCAGTAAGTGTTTAAAAAAGTTAATCCCCATGTAAAAATTAGGACAGAAACAGTGTATCATTTGTGCTGATGAATGCAGTTACTGTCAAACCAGTTTGTAGATACTACTTAGGGGACTGAATCAAAGTGGTCTTATGCAAATTTTCACAGGCCCACATATAGACACCCACTAGACTCCACCACCTCATTGGTGAGGAGGAATCTGTGGCCTAAGCCCAGTGTTGGTAAATGTGCTAGAAGTCTAGCTGGAGTCCACACGGAGGCCTGGCAATGTGGAAATTGGTAATGCACTAGCGGTAAGTGCATTTAAAATCACTTTGAATTAAAGATGTGTGTGCACTTACTGGGTTAAAAAAGAAAAAAAAAACAAGAGGGACCACTGGTTGCATTAGACCTGTGGTTGCTGAATAGAGGTAGTTCATTAGGGAAAATAGGTCAGGGCTATTCCATGGTGGTGGTTGATAGCAGGTGGTTGCTGAATAGAGGTGGTTGTTTTAACAGGTTTGACTATATTCACAGTAACCTCTGGGAGCACAGTATTCATTTATTGCCTTCAAGGGTGACATATCTTTTTCTATTTTGTCAAGGATTATGTCCCTTTTGGAAATCTAGATTAGATTATGTCCACTTTTGGATCTTGACAGCAGGTAACTGGCATCACTCAAGAATGGAAGTATGTAGAAATACCTGGCTGCTTCCAGCTCGGGCCAAGCAGGTGGCTTATTCTCACTGGTGTGATTTTGTAGAAAATCGATCATTATTTGCCGTACGGTCTGCAATTCTCGATCTGGCCCTATAAAGCAACAACATAGCACAGAAATGGAAAGTGTTACTATGCCACACCCAGGACTCAACTCGGTCAACAAATCTTTTATATTCACACATGGAACTAAACTGGAAGCCATATTTAAATTTCGTAAACCTTTTGAACTCACCAACATTATACTACTATCGTTGGGCTAGACAGCCCACTTTCAAGAATCAATGCCAATTAAAATGTACCCAGTAAAATATAAACCTACTCATCTCCCATACAGATAGATTGTGTGATTTCTCCTCATGTTGAGGACCTGAATCCTTTTAGGCATACAAGTGCCAATTTGCATCAGTTCATTCAGTACTCAATAAAGCATAACCTCCCCAAGAAACTCCATTCATTCATCTCAAATATTATTTCCCTATCCTCCCCCAGTGACACAAAACAGTACCTATAGATGCTTATGCTTTGGAGAAAAAAATTACGAGATTGTTTTATTTGAGGGGATGAAAGGAGAAAAGGAATTACCACATCTTCCAAAAAAAAATCTTTCACCCAGAACAGTGGGGCGTCCATCATTTTCCATTACAGTTTCTGCTACAACAGGAAATAGGGGTCCCTATTTAAGTCAGTTGCACTTTGTCATTGAAAGTTTCAGAATCAACAACTGTAAATGATGGGAAAAATACATTCTCTACCCACCACTTGTCTCCAACAATTCCCATAGCTCCAGAAGAAAAAAAAATTGGTCATTCAATTCATGACTACTTGTGGGACATTGTGGTTTGCAAAATGGCCTTTTTCCAATCACTTCAAATCCTGTCATCCGCTTTGAGAGTCTCCGATGTAAAAGGTGTGGTATCAAATGCAAGAATTATCATCATTCTTATTATTCAACAAAAAGGATTATTATATTCTTTAACATTTGACCTGGTTTAAAGGAAGCCACATGGAACACAGATTTTAAATTCCTGTGAACAATGTAAAACCATGTTTCAAACAGTACCTTTATAATTCTCCCCCACTGTGAATTGGGTTGCAAGTGCTTTGAAGTACTGCAAGGGAAAAAATAAAATAACAGCTTTATAATAATTCGATCCAGAATGGTGGAAACAAATTTCTCCCACAGACAAGTTTGCTTTGACATATTTAACAGAAACCCAATTATTGTGGTATCAAATTTAAGCAGCAAATCCTAAGAGAAATAGCCCTTAAAGTTCGCCCATTAACCCAACAACGGAAATGTCTCAATTCTTCAATTACAACAGAAACTACAGAAAATAGAATTTTACTACACGACGAATGATAATCACATGGTCCAGAGATTTACGTGCAACAGTTCTCAATTATTACTACTACAACTAGCATTTATACCGTGCCCTTCATGCGTCTTGGGAGTGTGTAATAGCAGTGGAAAGCATTGTGGTTTCACACTGGGCTGGAAAAAGAGGGGAGGTGACCGAAGCCACAGCTGAAGAAGAAAGTCTTCAAGTGAGATGTGAGAGGGGACAAGACAGAAGGATTGAGGCTGAGTTCCAGAGATTCAGGATATAGTGGCTGAAAGTACCGCTGCCACTTGTGAAGTGGAGCGGTTGAGGGACGTGCAAAGGACCCGAGCCAGCTGAGAGAAGGCGGCGGGTTGTGGAGTAGTGTGTGAGCAGATCAAAGAGGTGCCTGGACATGAAGTGATTTGAAAGTGAGAATCTTGTAATAGATCTACAACAGGGAGCCAGTTGAGACTCATCATTTGGACCTTGTTTAGTGAAGCACATTGGAGGTGTGTAAGAAAAACTGAGGCAGGAGGTGACAAAGGTGCTATATCAAATTCAAGGATCATCATTACAACATTGGTTTAGTTGTTTGTAGTAAAAATGCTCACAGCCAGTACTGGCTTCAGCAAGCATATACTTTAAGCCACGTTTAGAGTGAAATACTATCATGCTTTTAGAGCCACATTATTCTTTTTGAAAGAATTGATCAAAATGAAGAGAAAAGCCTTTATGCAATTCATGAGGCAACTGCTCATCTCCACACAAACGTAAGTGAGGAGAAAGGGAAATCAAATTTCATCAAAACAGATGGTACACTGTGGAATCCAACACCAGCATGTAACAAACACCTGTAACAAACGGCCTCACTTCTTTATATCTAAAATGCCTGCAGGTTCATACGTAGCTTCAAAGAGAAAGTATTACAGCTGAGGTGCAGAGCTTATAGCTCTAATAAGTTTTCAGTTAGTACCTTACCCGGAAGGTTGGATAGAAATGAATCCCAAATTCTTTACAGGTAGCAAAGTTGTTTTCATCAGCACAATCAAGCACACCTATTCGCATGGCCAACTCCCAGTCTAGGAAGTAAAACAAACATAAAAAAGTTACGTTTTCTGGATTAACATTCAGACCTATAGTCTTTAGGTGTTTCAGCTGCAGTTAGATTTGTATTCAGTTCAGTAATGAAGGGGAGACAGTGCCAGTAGGGGGTTCCTACAGTAGCAAACATGTGTTTCAACATGTGTTTAAATAGAGCTGGATTTTGGACATAGAGGTACACACACTGAAATGTTTTCGCCGTCACCATATAAAGCTCACACTTGTGTGAGGCACTGAATCAGGCTTGGGAATATATACCTGAGCAGGAGTCAAGGCATACAAATTGTGCAGCAAAATCTGCTCTATGGGCCATCACAAATTGTAATTCATCTTTATTGCAAATCAGATGTACAGGCAAGCATCCATCCTGCTTGTAACAATTATACACAGGTCCTAAATGACTGGTGTCAAAATGGCACATTATAGAAAAAATTTAGATGAATTAATGAATAATGGGCACGAACGGTACCAATAACAGAATGGTCCTATCGTGCTGTGCCCAGCACTCCCTAAATCAAACTGAAACCTGCAGGAACAAACAAGGCACACACAGTACAGTTCGCAAAGGTTTATCTTTATGCTTCATCTCCAACTTTATAACAATGATCCCGGCACTTGAAATAATGCCTAACATTGAAAAGGTCTCCAAGTTCTTCAAAGTTTCTATTAAGCATAGTGACTGAATTGAAATTAGCCTAACTCAGTTTATACTACTACAACAACTTGCATTCATATAGCACCTTTCACATCAGGAAGCCACGGAATTTAGTGCGGGAGGACACGAGCTGCAGAGCTCCAAACAATCTGCAGCTTGTGGAGGGAAGTGTTGGGAAGTCCGGCAAACAGGGAATTAGCATAATCAAGCTTGGATGTGTGGGACATTGCTGTGCAAATTGGGCTGTTCACCGACAAATACACAGTCAATCCATTTCACAGACAACACTGTGAAGTGCTTTGGGATATCCTCCCAACGTGAAAAGTCCTACATCAAATGCAAGGATTATTACTATAATAAACGGGTAAGGGAATAACACGTAGAACAGACATTAAAGATAAAAGCAGAGTTGCAAATGTGCACGGAGATGAAGATGAACAGCAAACGGAATAAACTCTATACGCACACGTGCAAATAAATCATGGGACCAGAGTAAGAGCACAATGTTGCAATAGTGCACAAAAAGGCACAGAAATTAGCAACAAAATTAACTCAACTTTATTTGCAACACATGTCAAAGTGGATTATGGAACCAGTAGAAAAGTTACATTCTTTTTTTTGATGACTCCCATCCTTGTAGCACTGAGACGAGCCATTAACATTGTGATCCACAACCCAGCGAGACGTTTAGTGTCAGCCCTCAAAAATTGCAATCGTTGAGTCCATGCAAGCATCCAGTAGCAGATGGACATCCATTTACAATGAATACAACAGTTTCTGTAAGAATTCAGTCAAATGAAAAGCTTGGCTGCCTCCACAGCAGCCGCCTGCTTCCACCTGTCTGTATCCACAAACACTGTGAATAGGAGCTCTGTCATGCTAATGTAGAATAGGGCACTGCACAACAATGTGATCTGTAGCCGTAATCAATTCTGGTTTCTACGGATAGCAGCTTGAGGTGCTTATTCTATCCACAGAGTATAAAGACCCACAGTGAAGAAATGGGGAGGAATAAAACAGCAGCTTGTTCTTAAAGGACTGCCGTGAGCACATTAACATTAGCATGCTAACATGGTGCTAGAATATTCTGAATCTGATTTGTTAGAAATAAAAGGAGTTACAAAGTTAAAGTGCCAATTACAAGAATTGGATCAAAACTATTTTTCTTTAAGTTTGAAGTGCAAATAGGCATTATCGGACAGGATTTAAAACTCGTTTTTAAAAAATTAGAACAATGGCCAAGTCATAGAGGAAGCAAGTAACATTTTAAAGCATAGAAAATCTAATACTGACTACATCCTGAGGAGAAAGGGAATACAAGATAGAACAGGAGACATCTTACAAATTACTCTATCGTTCTTTACTGCTGATCTGGAAAAGCAAATGTTTGCCTTGTTGCACAGACAATCGAGTTTATAATCAATACCACAATCCTAGAAGTCAGCAAACGGCGCAAAGTTCCACAACTACCACCTCTTAGCAGCTCAGATTCTAAGTAAGGTAAACAGTAATAGAGAATGTGTGATAAACACAAACCTGTGAACCTGGCCAATGCACCCAATGCAGTGACACAACTGAGCTAGTAGTTAGCAAGAGACTGGGGTCCTTCACCAGATATATTAATATGCATCTTGGATACTGGTTATATTTTTGCTGCCACTGTAAAACTAGAAAATAGGACTGTACTTAAATCAAGAGTGCAAGAATATAAACAGTAGAGGAGAATTCTGCACAATGTAGGACAATCTAAAAACACTCACTTTCCACGCCTTGCCCCCTAGCACTATAGTATCTCACAACACTATCTACCCAAATCAGTCAAGTGACTCCCAACATGAGTTTGCTAATATTCCTTTCTTACTTTTGCCCAATTAATGCTGACAGATGTTAAACTGAATTGACAGTTGAACTAACAACCGGGTTCAACAAATCTTCAGCTAGATTAGCTTATTATCTGTTAAATTTTAAACTATTGAAATTCAGTTTCGACTAAAATAATGGACCATTTAGCAATTATTAACATTTGTACATGTTATTGGCACAGTTCCTTGGCTAAGTCAACCCACACGACAGTCTGCAGAATGCCACTGCAAGTTATCCAAGAGCAGTCGGGTGCAACCATTTTTCGAGCGTATCCTCCTTAGTGTGTAGTGATTAGGTCTCTATTCTGTGCCCAGCAAACAGTGAGCCAAGATGACCAACTCTATAAGAAACTTGAGATGCAAACCCACACACTGTAAACCCATTGCCAGAAGTGTCCTGTGAAAGTGTAACTTCCTAGGTAGTTCAAGCAGTAAAAGTTCACTTCAATGAACGAACGGGCTGCAATTAATTGATCATTGGAAGTAAACTCTTTCCTGCTTTAATCTTGAGGGAAGAATAGTTCCATCAAATAATTGACAGTGTGAGCTGTTGGGTAAAAGCATATCTAGAGGCAGAACAGATACTGCCCTCCTTAATCACTCAGAGCATATTAAATGATACAAAGAGTTTAGTGCCACAATCTAAATTCGACATAAGGACGTTGAATGTAAATCAGCACACCTAACTAAGTACTCAGTACACTTTTAAATATTTACAAAAAAAATCTCCTGAAGTAGCTCTCATAGATGTACACACGGATTCTCACACCAGCTCCACAGACATATAGGAAGTAATTCTGAAATATCTAATCTGCCCAATTCCACCATTCCAGTTCAGGGAACATGCTATAAACTGCTTGCTTCAGAAAATGGAGAATGAGAGAATAGAATAAACAAAGAAAAAGGGAAATATGTGGGAACATTAGTGCCCAAACAATGAACTCTAATGTGGTCTCATTGTTTTCTTACCCATTTCATTGATATCAATCCTAACCATAAACAGTCATCACATTCATAAAATAATAAAAGCATTTGATATAGTGCCCTACCACATAATCAAAACACCTCAAAGTGCTTTACAAGATTTTACTGCAAGGTGCAGCGACTGTTTATTTTTAGGCAAGTGTGACAGGTGATCCTCTGTGTTTGACAGGAGAAACTATTTCACTCTTATCCATTACTGGCTATCATAAACACACTCGGCAGTTTGATAGTTTTCCATTTGTACATAATAAAACCTAATGTAAACAATTGATTGTTAAGGGCAAACTAATGTAAATATTATTTAGATACGAGGAAATTAAAACCAATGTAATCCTGGTTTGACATGAAGTTAAAACTATTATATACTGGACTGTTATGAGGAAATTACCACATAACAGTTGCAAACACTCATCATTTCGTCTGGACATACAAATCAGACTCTGACACATGGTCAGCAAAAACAAACCAAGGTTATTAAAGAATTCCTGTGCAACAATTTCAAAGCTACAGATTCACCTCAGCGTTAGGAGGACTCTATAAACATCTTAAAAATGTATTTTTCACAGATAGCTCTCTGAAACCCTGAATCAGATTAACGTACTATAACTACTCCAGGGGATCTGTTAGGCTCTAGATATCTCACTGACACGGCATTTTTGGAGAATCCAATTATTAGATGCAATTTATTCTCAATTAATTCTCACAATTTATTCTATATTGATTACATGCTGCATTTACCTGATGTCAAATTGGCGATGTAAGTCTATTTCCCATTGGCGGTTGTGTACATCAAAAGAGGAGACTTCTACAAGCACCTCCAATGATAGCATTGCACCAGCAGCATGAACAGAATAAGACTCTCCACAAGTTGTTAAGAATAGCCATTCATCAGAACATGCTCACACTGAGAGAGAAGGCTGAGACTCATGGGTGGTAAGTTATTACGCTTGAAGAAAGACGCTCAAACTCCTCTTGACTGCTGCAACATGTCTGTTTGCTAAGACCGAATTAATCTAATACAGGGACATGAAATTTCTTCCCTCCCCCAAATGATCTGGCATAGTTTCACAGGCACTTGCAGCAGCTACAGATTTCTCAATCTTGCCCCCACCTTTCCTAACTAACTGGATCGTTGAGCAACCCTGTGGTTCTTTTACTGGCAAGGATCAGCAAACTCAGCACAGGCTTTTCAGAGAGCTGTGGTTTTTATGGTTCATTACCACACAAAGTAATGAATTTCTCACCTGACCCTTTTGGCAGTAAATGGTTTGGTTCAGCCAGAATCTAAATCTCAATAAAACCAAATGCCATTTAAAAATGTACAAGTCCTGCAAAGTTCTCCCAATAAGTGGTCCTGCAAGATGAGTACATATCCATTTACAGAAAGAGTGTATTTCTGGCTTTTATCGCATGAGATGTGTCATCCTTCAGATGAGACGTTAAACCGAATCCCTATCTGTCTGCTCAGGTGGATGTTAAAGATCCTGTGGCACTATTTGAAAAGAGACAAGAATTTCTTCTAGTGTCCTGGTCAAAAATCCCCCAAATAAAATTGATCTTTCACTTCATGACTGTTTGACGTTGATCATTGCTGTGCACAAATTGACTGCTGTTTGAGCCAACAAAAGACACACAGAGTAGAGTGGGTGTTCTGAAAGGATGGGATCAGATGGGCCAAAGGTCCTTCATCCAGACCAATCTTGTGAAGTATAAGCACACAAATCAATTTTCCTCTGTAACAGCATTCCCATCTCTGAATCAGAAGATTTGGGGGGGGGTTCAAGATTGGATGTTAAAGATTTTATGGCACCATTCAAAAAGGGGAGTTTTGCCAGGCCAATAATTCCCAATAAAATTGGTAATTCACTTAGTGGCTGTTTGTGGGATGTTGCTTTAAGAAAATTAGCTGCCATGTTGGCCTATAAAATACACACATACAGTAAATCCTTTGAAGCCTTTCAGACATTTTGCTGACACAAGGCATGAAAGCAAATGCAAGTATTAAACCCCCCACTGCTGCACATTAAATGCTGCACTACAGGATTAAGCTACAAGGGCACACAAGTTTCTAAAAAAGGCATTTAGCTGAATAATAAGTAAGCGGGGCCAGATTTGAGGAAACAGTAGATATGGCAACTTCATACTGAAGAACAATTGATTACGCATGCATTTGAAAGAACAGGTCGCTGGAAGGTAGAAGGTGCAGTCAAAAAGGATAATTTTGCAATGGCCTTAGTTAGACGGGCCAATGGAGCCGGGCATGGATGGGCTCACGAAGTTTGGCGCAGGAGAGAAGGCAGGATGCAGAGTTCCAGAGTTTGCAGAGAATACAACAGGTGCTGGTGTTGAAGTCGAGGCTCGAGATAAAGGCAAACCGAGAATTGCATTTTGTTGCGGGTAATGTAGTGATGGAGGGGAGCAGTGTTGAGGAGATTGTCCATTTTTGCTTTTTTTTCTGAGGCCTGGCAACCAGGAGATAATTAGTTCAGCAATTTTGTACATACACACATGCCACATGCACACCTCTCTGCAGTCCAACCTTCATAAGCAGGTGTAAGTCATACTGACCCGGGCAATTTGGCATCTGCTGTTGCACATTTAAGGTACCAGAAACTCTCAAAAACATTTTAATGAATTTTAACAAGTAATCGTCAGCATTTGAACTTTACAGTCACACTCAATTATAAACTCCCCACTGAACGTTTAACACTGCATGCTGAAAATTGTTGCACAAGGCCATTAAGCCACAAGGATACCAATCACTTCCCAAAAAAGGTCATTTAGCTGAATAATAAGTAACCGTGGCCAGACTCGAGAGAAAACTGTAGATGTGGCAGCTTCATACAGAATTGATTAGGCATGCATTTGAGAGAACAGATGGTTGGAAATCAGGCTTAGTAATATTCTTTTAAAATTGCCTCATATGCCTTCAAGCTATTATAAGAGGAAAATAAATACCTCATTCTCATAATGTAATGGCAGGTTGAAGAATATGCCACGTCTCCAGATAGAAACAGCCTGTTTGGTGATAATCCTGGATCCATTTTTGGCCACATTTACATGAGTGAGCAGTAATTGACAGTCTGAATTACTTAAGAGTAATTGACTTCATCAAAATATTTAAGCATCTACATCTACAAAACAGTTGGAAGTACTATTCAGTTGCAAAAGTGAGTTGAAGAGAACAGCTTCGCACATCAACCAAGAGTACTTTTTGCCCCCCAGTCAGAAGATGCAACAGAATAGATCTTATGAGAAACTACACTTATTTGGCAGAAAATATAATATTTTTGGAGTGGGGAGGTAAGAGAAAGGCTGAAAGATACATTTGAGATTTAAAGTACTGTACTTTCTGCTCGTACATTTTTTTCTCCAAATCTGGAGAAAAGTTGTACTCTAGTTCTCCCACATCAGGAATATTGATTTACATCGGGAGCTGGAAATATTTCAGCTTCAACGTAAAAGGGCAGAGTCACTTAAAAGTGTTGACTAATATTCAGGATCACTAGCCATTTGTCACATGGAGATGATTACAAACATCTAATCTGATCAGATAAACATTCTGTCAAAAACACACCGAAGACTCAGTGAACCAAACACGCTGATGTAAGACCTTTGCAAATGTGAGGTACTATACTCGATAAGTTGCTAGAAAAGTGGCTACGGGGGAGAAGCTTACTCTGCGGTAAACAATTTGGGAATGAAACGTTTAGGCATCTATAAATATGTAATATCAACGTGTAAGCACCTTTCAGTTCATAATGGTTTGCTTTAAAGAGATCGGAAGTGTTCTTATTTTAAAAAAGATAATTTGGGAAGTGAAGGAAGACATCAAAACGATCTTCCACTTCAGGAAACGGTGCACTCAGAACTTCCAATACGATGTCTCCAAACTACGTTCCTTTCATTTGCTGAATACACTAAAACCGATTTACAATAATAATAATAATCCTTGCATTTGATATATGTTCCTGTAATCAAAAACTACACGATCAGAGCAAAAAAAAACATACGTTTGGAGCAGCCCTGTCGTTTTGATTGAGAAAAGGAGTCGTTCTTTTAACATTCGGGAACTGATATTAAAAAGCTGAATATTGGACCCAACGCTGTTAAGGTCACGCGTTGGCCACGCAAAGGAGACGATGTGAACAGCCACGAAGCCCAATACGCGTGGGGTAAGCAAAACCCGGGTGGAGTCCTGTCGCTCAGTGGTTAGAGCACTCGCTTTGCAAGTGAGAGACCTGAGTTCAATCCCAGGCAGAGGGCGAAACCTCGGGCAAGTTTCCTTACTCCACACAGAGCCTAATAATAATCCCTCCAAAACAATAATAAATTGGTCATTTTCAATCTACCACACTTTGTGGGACATTGCTGTGCGCCATTGGCTGCCGCGTTCGCCCACAAATATACAGTCGATTCACTTGACAGTGTGTTCTGTGAAGCGCTTTGGGACGTCCTCCCGACGTGAAAAGCGCTATATGAAATGCGAGGATTATTATTATCATCGTTATAATTGGCGAAGGCCGACAAAGACCGTCGGGGCCCCTTTCAAAAATTAACGGGAGATGAAAGCTCAGCCATGAAAAACCGGGCGCGGGCGCTGTGCTGCCCAACGCCTCCCGACAAACGCGACGATGATTTTCGCACGTTTCGCGAAAGAGAGAGAGAGAAGAAATAATTTTAAAAAAACATGACCGTCCCCCCGTCCCCTCCCTCCCTCCCTCCCTCTAAAAAAGGGCATCACAGCCCCGGTCTGTGCGCAGAGGAACTGCACAAACTTCCCAATGTAAGGGTCGGGGAGGGAAGGGGGGGAAGGGGAGGGGGGGGGATTGCCAAACCCGAACAAAGAACAACCCTCATCATCAGCTCCAAGAAGAAGAAGAAAGAAGAAGAAGAAAAAAAAGGCCCCCCAGTTAAAGACAAGCAAAGGGCTTCCCCGAAAGCCTGGGGGGGGGGGCGGTGTTGGGCGGTGTCGGCGGCGGTGGTGTTGGTCGGTGTCGGTGGTGTTGGCCGGTGGGGAAAAAACACAACTCGCACAAGGGAATGAAAACCCGACGGGGGTGGGTGGGTGGGGTGGGGGGGGGGGTTACGTTTTCCACCCCCCCACCCACGAAAAAAAAACCCGCACTTGTTTTTTTTTCCGCGAAAAAAAACCGTCCAGAGTCAGTCTCTGTCTCTCTCTCTCTGTGTCTCTCTCTCTCTGCCGCCGCCGCAGACAAACACCAGCGACCGGCGGCAAGTTTCTGGTGGCGGGGGGAACGAAACCCGGGGGGTGGGTGTGGGAGAGAAAGAAAATATATAATTTTTTTTTAATCGTTTGACAAACTTTTGTGTGGAGAAGGAAGGAAGGAAGGAGGGGAGGGAGGGAGGAAGGAAGGGTGGGGGGTGGGGAGGGTCGCTCGGTGTCCTCAGGCCGCCTCAGACCACTTACCTACTCAACCCCCACCACCCACCCACCCCCTTCCCCTCCAGCCGGGCTCACCCACCTCTCACGTCGCCGGCCAGCGCCTTCCAGGTGGGCGCGTAGTTGACGCAGTGGCCGCACCAGGACGAGTAGAACTCCACCACCCAGGCGCTCGTCGAGTTCCTCAGGAGCCTCTGGGCGCTTCCCGCCTCCAGGACCACCACCCGGTCGCGGCCCCGGTACAGCTTGTCGGCCTGGGCCTGGGCCGGGGCGGGCAGCAGCGGCAGGAGGAGGAGGAGGAGGGAGGAGGCCGTGAAAGCGCCTCGACTCCGGCGCTCTCCCCTCGCGCTCGGCGCCATCTTGTCAACTGCCGTCGTCCGGCGGCGGCTCGCGCTTCTCCCCTTCACCCTGCCAACCGCCGGGGGGGCGGGGCCTGGCCTCGTCGCCAGGGGCAACGGGCCCGTCCTCCCGCCCCCCCGCCCTCCCGCCCGCGGCCCCATTCACAAATCCGCCGGCTGCCGCTCTTACGCATTTAAAGGGGACGCCGTCATTTAAAGGGGCGTGCGGACGCCCATCTGTTCCGAGGTGTTCTTTCTTCTTGTTATTATTGTTGTTGTTGTTCTTACTTTACAGGAGGAAGCTGCACACAGACCCTCCTGGTTTTCGCCCACGAAGTATTCCACCTTGCGGGACATTCCGCGAGGCGCTTTGAGGCGTCTCAAAGACGTGATAAGGCGCTCTGTCCAATGCAAGGATTATTGTTTATGTTTATTACATGGGTGACCCCGCCCCCCGCCCCGATACTAGCATTACGTTGCATTGTGATTATTTAACGGCATTGCATTACAAACTATACCTATTTATTAATCCTACCTCGTGGAGTCCTGTGGCTCAGTGGTTAGAGCATTCGCTTTGCATAGCGAGAGACCTGAGTTCAATTCCAGGCAGAGGGCGAAACCTCGGGCAAGTTTCTTTACTCCACACAGAGCCTAATAATAATCCCTCCAAAACCAAAAACAATAATAAATTGGTCATTTTCAATCTTCGACTGTTTGTGGGACATTGCTGTGCGCAATTGGCTGCCGCGTTCGCCCACAAATATACAGTCAATTCACTTTACAGTGTGTTCTGTGAAGCGCTTTGGGACGTCCTCCCGATGTGAAAAGCGCTATATCAAATGCAAGGATTATTATTATTATTACTTTCCAGCTCTGTTCCCAAGATCCCTTAATATTTTTTATTGTCCAGGCGTGTATCCGGTTTCTTTTTTTTAATGTTCCCAGTGATTTAAGTACGCTACAACAGTCAGTTGTGGCAGTGTATCCCAAATCTCAATAACCCTCCGAATAAAATAAGTTCTTCTCACCTTACGTTTTGTTTATTGCTGGAATTTGCTTTATGGTCTTAGTAGTAATGCAGTGTTTATATCCCAATTGTTGAAACAATGTGCGAAAACAATCTCCTTTCACTTGTATTTGTGCAATTTCGCGGCTCGACCTCAATTGATAGTGGGGGTCACATATTTATAATAATGTATAACTTTTTTCATTCGGTAAAGAAGAACAATACATTCAACCAGTTTGTGAAATTCTCCAACTTTATTTCGTTTTCTAAAAAAAACATACAAAGCCAACATTTTTTTTAAAAAAAACCTTCTTCCATGTCAATATTTGTACAAGAGATAAAAATTTAATATGAGGAATTGTTAAATAATTTGTGGAAAATTGTTGTGGAATAAAAGGAATCAATGTCATTATCATACATGAACTACAGAAGTAAATACAAAAACAATTCTTTACATATTTAAAGGTGACCTCTTTCTCTCTGTAGAAATATAATAGGCAAATCTTTAATGTAGAAATATAAATCCACACACTGATAGTGTATCAAACAACCAATGATCATATGCAGTAGAATAATAAACAGAATTAAAACTTTATTTTAAAATCTAGAATAATTATTATTGGAACAAATGAATTCGATGCAACCTCACAAAAAATTAGTCATATTGGTCCATGTATTGCAAATTTAATCGATGTGCTTTGATGTTTTTTTTCTTATCCCTGTTTTTTTCCCACTGCAGGCTACAATGAGGGGTGTAATGTTTTAAAATCAAATTACATCCATAAAGCACTTCAACTTCCTTCTAACAGCTCCTCCTGAACTCCTCAAGTAAATTGCAACTTTACACTCACTTCCTGCCATTCACAAAACATCAGGTTCTTAATTGTGCAATAAAAGTGTAATTAATTGCCTTGCCATAGCCCCTTTGAATCAAAGTACTGTTATTCCACATTAATGACATTACAGGAATGTGTCACCTCAGCTATTTGTATCACACTATTCTGGATTTTATTTTTATTAAAACCACACATCGTAAAAAAACATAGAATGCACAGCACAAGTGTATGACTGTAATTTAATTTCAGGGCCAAATATCATCCATTAAAACATCAGCTCTGCCCTTATTGATCAACATATTATTGTGCATGTGAATTGATCCAATAGTTCACACTGTATCTAGACTTTTATAGGTTACCAGAGAATGTATAAACAAAACACTGCAAATACAATGTACATTTCAATAGAATAATAACAATAATCCTTCCATTTAATATAGCGCTTTTCACATCAGAGGACGTCCCAAAGTGTTTCACAGAACACACTGTAAAGTGAATTGACTGTATATTTGTGGGCGAACGCGGCGGCCAATTGCGCACAGCAATGTCCCACAAACAGTCGTAGATTGAAAATGACCAATTTATTATTGTTTTTGGTTTTGGAGGGATTATTATTAGGCTCTGTGTGGAGTAAGGAAACTTGCCCGAGGTTTCGCCCTCTGCCTGGAATTGAACTCAGGTCTCTCACTTGCAAAGCGAGTGCTCTCACCACTGAGCTACAGGACTCCACGTCAGTAGTCCAGTATTCACGTCAACATTTTCCTCAGGCTTCAAATGGCCCAACCAGCCTAAATAATTGCCAAGTAACCTATGTTTAGTCCCCCTTCTTGTCCAGCTAGGACCATTCTATTTATTAGGGCTTTGGTCCTGAGATCTCTTTTGAGAGATTCTGTTAAGGGTATCGATGGTGTCATAGATCAGGAGGTTAAAAATTTCCTCAGTCAGTTTCATCTTCACAGTGAACTCATCGGTCTCATATTCCACCCACTGATTGTTTTCTTCTTGCAATTCCTGAATCTAACAGTAAAGAGTGAGTTTAGACAATAGCGATGAAATATTTCATTCTTTATTAAAAAGAATAAAAAGCTTGGTAGAATTAGCTACTTTCCTATTTAAGGTAGTCACTGTAAGCATACCTGTCAGTAAATCACACTCCCTGGTAGAGGAGTAGGTAAGACACAGCCAGCACCATGAACAGTCCTCATCGCAGCGACACACGGAGACTGTCACACTCTTATAAGTAGCGCAGAGCAATGGGTCTGGTCCTTGTGTAAGAGGGATGAACTACAACAGACAAGTTGACTAAGGCTATTTGGTCTAGAAAAGCAAATGCCTTAGAGGGGATTTTATAGAGGTTTATCAGAGGAAGCCTTAATAGCTATATAAGATGCTGAATGGGATTGGGAAATTAATACTTATGACAAGCAGTAGGTGGGAAACACAAAGCCATGTGTGTAAATATCGCCATTGAATCCTCCCCTCTCTTTTCAGCTCAGCGTCAAACCACACTATTGCTAAAGTGCTCCGAGATGCTTCGCAGGTGAAGAACACTATATAAATGCCCGTTGCTGTTCAAACATCTTCTAAATCTCACTTTTAAGTTAAATAAAAATTTTGAAAAGTTAACATCGAATGGCTTCATCAACGTCACTGGCTATAGTGTTCTGACAAAGGATCGTGGACCCAAAACGTTGACTCACTTTCCTTTCTTCAAAAAAGGTGCCTGACCTGCTGAGTGTTCCCAGCAACTTCTGTTTTTGTCACTGGTTATAGGTTTAGTGAACGGCGTCTCAGTCTTAATTATTATTTGTGACTTGCTTACCAGAATAATGTCAACCTGATCCCTTTTGCTCTTTCCGTACTTTGTCAATTTCTGGAGTTTCCACTTCATTTCCAGATCATTTCTGTCCAGATTTAGCAGCTTTAGCACTTTGCCTTGGACAAATAACTGAAATAAAACAGTGTGATAAGTCATTCTTTAAGCTATAGATCATTCACATCTCAAATGAACATGGGCAGGATGAGATCCACCCCAAATGCCTCAAACTTGGAGATCTGCCCTCAAACATTGCCCTGACTGTCCAGCACCTTGGGATGTCCTCCCGACGTGAAGGGCACTATACAAAGGTAATGTTGTTGTTGTTGTAGATGGCAGCATGTTGAAGAAATTGTGCATTTTGCTGACTGTGAATCCGAGCAATAATGTGAAGTTAATGAAACTAAACTGATTGTTGTGGATCAGGAAGTGAAAAAGAGAGTTTAGACTATCTATTTACAACTGAGCAAACTTCAAAGTAAAAAAGTGGACCGTGTAATGTACCTTCACCTCATTAACATCCTCTGTGTTGAAAGTGGACAAAGTGAGCCTGATGGCTTTCGCTTCACACAAGGGTAATGGGTGGATTCGGAGTCCTTCATGAAAAGGTTTTGAAAGATGTCACAAGTCAAATCCAGTACAGCCTGGAAGAGAAAGAGCAAGCAAGTCATACATCACACTCAGCAAAAAAAAAAAAAGTTTTTTCTTTGGATCCTCAAATGAGTGATAAACTCAGGTGGATGTTAAAGAAACCGGGACACAATTCAAAAAGAGAATGGGGTTTCTGCTGGTGTCCTGGCCAACAATCCCCCAGATGATAGTGATCATTCTTCTCCTGACTGTTTGTGGATCATTGCTGTGTGCAAATTGGCTTCCGCATTTGCCTAAAATTACACAGTCAATACACTTTACAGAAACTTTAGGGAAAGCGCTTTGAGCCAATCTCCATGTTATGGGTACATAGGTATAATGCGATATCAAATGCAAGAATTATTAATGTTATTATTTTAGCATTGTTTTTAGGCTCCACTCCAATGTTACTGATCTTCCATTTACCAGTGAGTTAGAAGGGTTACTTGTGTGTGCAATAAACAGTGAACTGCCCCTGTTCTAGTTTGGCTTCACTGCCTATTATCAAACTCCGAGCAGCGACAAGATCAACAACACGCATGTGATAAAGTCCATCACCTGCTTGTATACCCTTTTGCTTTCTGCATCTTTGTCCATTTCATCAATTTCGGTAAATGTCAAAACTTCGGACAGGTCAACGCTATCCCCAGCTTGAAGTTGGTCACGTTGCCTCCAAAGTACGTGCACAGCATCTTCAACCAACTTCCGTACGTGGCTAAGGTCATGAGGGACAATGAAAACGGTCTCCTTTATTTGTCTCCATGGGCCCGAATACCACCGATCCAATGCAAACATCTGCTTTTGAGATTTGTTGCCTGGGATGGGCTGGAGCCCTTTAAACTCCTCACTGCTGATGTCCTGGTTTTCTCCGAACATTCCAGCATCAAGTACCTTCCCCTTGAAAAAACAAGACAAGTTAGTTAACTTCACATGATTTGGAGGATAGAGTCTTCAGAGATGAACCCCACGGTGTGATACTGAACCACATAGTTCGTAAGTGGGTCAAAGTTTTGTTCAGTGTTACATGCAGCATCTTAGGGACTATCACGGGAAATGCCATTAAAGGCTGACCTCACCAAAGGTACTGTAGGACACGCTGAATGGAATTCTCGCCCAAAAGATCTCAGGGATTGATAACACTTCTCCAGTGAGTGGCAGAGAGAGCACGTCTACCTGGCATTCAGACTATTTAGTGCAAGATACACATCAGTTGTAGCCCCATTAGAAAAGCAAAGCTGGGAAAAAAAAGGTAAAAAGAAAACGCACGCATTTTCACACACGCAAAACAAAATGATTTCATTTTGGACAACTTTGATCAAGTCTCTTTGTAAATAGTGTCTGCACTCACAGCCAAATCATCCACTGAAGTCTGAGGCCGGAGTGAAATAGCTCCTTTCAAGTCCTCATTGTGTTTTCTCTTGACTTTTGTGGATTCATCCGCAGCGTCATCCATAAATGTTGCAACCGTGTTCTCCGTCACATTTTCTATAGCTTTTTTGTTACAGTCTCCTGTCACAGTTTTAATCTGACCTGCAAGCTCACCGCCGTCTATTCCTCTAAGGTTAATAACTTTGGTGAAGGACTTGTCATGGTCACCTTGCCCTTGGAGCTGGCACCCATTCTTCAATGTCAATGTAGGCCTCTCCAGTTTATTCCGACATTCGCCTGGCCACCAGCCCTTGACCTTTTTGGTGCTCAGATTGCTCAGCTCAGCAAATGTTTCTTGTACAAGATGTCTTGTGAGATGTTCAGTAATTTCACTCACCAGCTGTCCGTGGTGCTTACCCTGGGAGCCCGGTAAAGCCTTGGTTCTGAAGGAGACCTTTGGATTTACATTGGCCTCAAAATCAAATTTTCCGTCTGCTTCACTTTCAGATAATTCCTGCGAATCTCCAAATGATTCCACTGCCCTTGCACATTCCAGGATTGTGCGTTCCAGTTCCACATCCCTGTCCTCACTTAGACAAAGCTCTTCCTCGTCGAACGGATGTGAGGATTCTTTTCTACCCAGCCCCACGTTCCCCTTCTCATTTCCTGTCTCTTCAGGCTCTTCTTGAAAGAACGAAGATTCTTTTAACTCGTCCCTCAGGCTTTTGTAGTTTCGTGCAGGTGAACCATCCATGGAATCGTCGCTGTCTGTGAGATCGAAGTCAACTTCATAATCATCCCAAAGGTGAGTGATGTGATCAGGAGGAACAAAGATCCCGCATTTATTTGTGCATTCAAAGTACTTAACCCCATAAAATGTTCCATCATGGTCTCCTTCTGCTTTGTCCAGCTCTACACCAGCCCAGTAACCTTGCTCAAATGATGTGTGTCCTTTGAACCTTAAGGTACCAGCCTTTGAATGATGTACCAGCACTCTATCTCCAATATGAAAACTCCAAAGTGCATCTCTGCTCTCCTTTTCCATTTCATGCGTTTCCTGTTTTCCATCTGCTTTGGGCCTACTTCTGCCTTCCTCAACCACAGACTCCTCACTCTTTTCATCTATTTCTTCAGTGGGAGGAGGTGGTGGAGAAGGAAAGTCATCTGTGTCATATAGATTCAGGTCATCACTTGAAGGTAGTAAATCCTGACTTAAAAAAGACTTCTCAAGAGATGGGGGCAGCAAGTACTCAATTTTAAGGGAGGTATTTTCTTCAAATGGTGACAGAAGCTCTTCATTTCTTGATGAAACTGTTTCTTCGGGTGTAGAAGGAGGAGGAGGCAAGTCTTCTAAGCTGAATGGGATGTTTTCAGCTGGCGTTGGAAATGTTTCACTCCCATAGAAGATCAAGTCATCAACTGGAGATGTTAATTCTTTCATATTAAACATACTGTCCTCTTCAAGTGGAGAGAGAAGTTCCTCACTTATCAGGGAGATATCTTCATCAGTGAGTATCAGTTGCTCATCTGTTAAGGAGATTGTTCCTTTGGATAAAGCAAGCAAGTCTTCCTTCTTGAACAAAAATCCTTCCACAACTGGAGATAAAGTATCTCCACACCACAACTTCTCTTTTTCATTCACAGATTGCAAAACATCACCTTTGGATGAAGAGCCTTGAGCTGAAGAAGACAAATCCATTCTATGGAAAGCTATGTCTTCAATGGGAGATGACAACTTTTGACTTCTCAGTGCTACCGTTTGCTCAGCTAAAAGTTGCAGCTTTGTTCTTTTCTTCACGATGTCTCTGTCGAAGAACATGACTCCCTATTGCTTGTGGAGTCAGAGTGTTTCCCTCCTGAACTTGCTTTGGTGCTCAAAAAGTCATCAATGTATGAAACAGATGGCGAGAATACATCGGAAGACCTGAAGGCATCAGTGGAAGCCATCTCACTGTGCAATAACGGCACATTATTATCCAGAAAATGACCACTCTTCAAGAAGGATACAGTTTGATCCGTTGTACGAGACAATTCAGGCATTGTAACTTCCTGGGAACCTACATCTTTTTGAATCATGGTCATTCCATTCCACGTCAGCTGAAATGGGGCCAATTGGCCAGCGGAAGACCGGATATCGGAACATTTATACAATCCAACAGAGTCTCTGTCAGTTTGTTCTGTATTTTACAATGGTAGTTTGAGCCAAATCTTCAGCATGTCCTTGAGGGATTGTACCTCCCTGCAGATCGATCTGGTTATTCGTCACAGAGTCGACAGGAGCTTTATAGGTTTTTGAATCATGATTGCTCGTTGTGCTGGTAACAAAGACTGAAACGATATTTTGGTGTAAAGTTTGTCTGTTTCCGAGCAACAATCCCATTTCTTTTGTTGGAGATATGATCCCACTATGCTCTACTTCAAGTTGAATGGAGGCTTTTTCAGGCATTGCACCATAAGAACCATTGGTTTTCTGTCCATTATTCCTGAATCCTTTTGAATTACTGGCCTTGGCATCTTGGGGAAGTTCCTCGCAAGTGCGCACTGGATCTAAAGCCACAATATCAGCATTGGAACATAGTGATGACTTTTGAGACTCGTAGAATGTAAAAGTTTCTAATTGACCTTCTGCCCTGTGAATTCCATTAACTGACTCAGAGGGAGGAGGAAGCTCAGAGGGCGGTTGAGATGATAATTTTTCATCGATTGTGGATGTATCAGGTGAAAGATTGTCCACAGATACGGCTCGGTCTTGCGTTATGAAGATTTTTCCAATGCCATTATTTTTGTCATCTGGAAGGATAGTAATGGTCAATAAGATGTAAAAATCTATATATAATCTATATTTATACAACTTGTGTGGATGGCAAATCATGAAAACAAGAACAAAGGACAATATGCAGTCATTCTGCAACTCAATACCTTCCATTAAGGGCAGTTCTTGTGTCTGAATTTCATCTGTACTCGATATTAAGACTTTTTGGGCTGAATGGTCAAGGACGTTGGACCTGGGTTAAAAAGCAAAAATAAGGCATCAAATGCTGTTGTCGCCTTCCAAATTTGTTTCACTCAATTTGACCTTTAAAACAGAATTTCCTTAAATAAGTCAACCCCCTTTCCTCCTGTTTTAGTTATTCAAATTGTGAATGCTGGAAGTGAAATGAAAACAGTGGCTTCTCTTCAGTCTCTCGCGCTTCAGATCACAAATAAACAAGTATTACCAGAGAGCACAGTTACCAATTAAGAGCATCCATCATATGTTGTAGTGGGAAAAAAATCTGTTTGTAACTGAGAAGGCATTTGTATAATCTCCATACCTCTCTGGAGAAGGAAAATGTAGCCTTGGTTTATCCTGAGAAGTAAAAGGGGTTTTGACCTCATCTGGAACATTGTTCAAGTAGGTGTCGGAAATCAGCTCAGCCCGTGCTTCAAGGATAAAAGCATCATAAGCCTGAAAATAAACCAGCAGAAACAGCTTCATATTGATGCCGTGAAGGCTGTTCAACTACCTTAACAGTAATATATGACTCGGGTCATTTAAGAGGAAAGGAGCAGCAATTCAATCCTGACTGACTCAAGTCATTTGGAGGATTGTTGATCACGAGAAACTGGGAGAAACTCCCTTCTCTTTACCAATAGCGCAGTGGGATATTTAATGTGCACCTGAAAACAGGCGAATGGATCTTTGCTGATGTCTCATCCAAAGGATTGCACCTCTGACAGAGCAGCAATCCCTCAGCACTACACTAGAGTATCAGCCTTGACTGTGAGCTCAAGTAATTGGTTAGATGATATTTACTAAACCGAGTCAGCCAATAAGAGATATCAGACTGGTACATTGCCCACGCGTTTCGCCCACAAAATACACAGTCAATTCACTTGACAGTATATTCTGTGAAGCGCTTTGAGACGTCTTGAAGACGTGATGAGGCGCTATATCAAATGCAAGGATTATCAATATTATTATTATTGCACACCTTCAGCTCTTTGCACAGCTTGGCCTCCTCCACCTTTAACTTCTCCCTTTCCCGCATCCTCTGTTCTCTCCGCATTTTCCCCATCATCGCCTTGCGGTTTGCCAGCTCCTCCTTCAGTGACAGCACATGTGCTCCTCCAGATTTCCCACTCCGCTCTGGAATGCCAAGGGAATTACAAAGTTTACTTGGTGAGTTTATTTGGTGAGTTAAGAAGCCCAAACCAGCATTTATTATTATTATTATTTATTATTATTATTTATTTATTATTATTTCCGTAATAAAACAAAATGAAATGCATCTCTTACTGTTGAATGTAAGATAATAATAATCCTTGCATTTGATACGTTTGATACAACGCCTTATCATGACGTGAAAGGCGCTATATAAATGTAATCTTGTTGTTGTTGTTTACATGATATAAAAAATAATAATAAATTGGTCACTCAATCCACGACTGTTTGTGGGACGCTGCTGTGCGCAATTGGCTGCTGCGTTCCGCCCAGAAAATATACAGTCAATTCGATTTACAATATAACCTATGAAATGGTTTGAGACATCTCGAAGAAGTGATAAGGCGCTGTATCAAATGCAAGGATTATTATTATATGTATTGACCCCTCAATCATCCCCTCTTCCTCCCCGGGACTCCTTCCTCTTTAAAAGGAAGTCACTCAGACTCAATTATTTTTACCGGTGACAGGCGAGCGTTTGTGCGATTGCATCTCTTCTGCCCCCGTCTGCAATCCCAACGTTTTATCAGGTTCCAGAAGGGTAGAAGGGATTTGGTCTGCGATTCCAGCAGCACAAGCCTGTGCGAGTAACAGCAAACACAAACAAGCAAATGTTTATTTGTAACGACAATCTTGCAAGTGCAAATCCGAATTCTGCAGGTGGAGATTAAATAGGAAGTGAGACACAGATCCAACTTTCTTTTGATCCTTCAGGGACTATCCATTGTTGTATCTTATTCTTACTGTTATATTTATTTAATATATGAAATCATAAGTGCAAACTACAGTATGTGTAGCAATTTGTTTCTCATTCGCTCCCCGTATATCCAACAATCCACTTCCCATTCACTCCCATTTTATGCATTTTACACCCCTCACACAGGGTCTCATCTCAGAGTGCTCTCGACGCTACCCTATGTGAGGGGCGCTATATAAATGCAAGTTGTTGTATTCCAATGAGACCGAGCCTTTTCCTGTGTTACAGCACTTCCAATATTTTCCATATGCAGAAGCTCAGCACCCAAACCACCTGCCTTTTAATACTGAACACATTTAGATCAATCCAGAACCAATTTTCGCAGCTATATCACTCAGTCAGACTGTCTTTGAGTACTTGTTAAGTGTTTCTCTTGTTTTTGTTGGCATTCCATCACTCAGAATGATTAAATGGGCCCTTGTCCAAAGTTTTGTAACTGGTCAGTTTACCTGAAATTTATAGAAATATTGATTCAGTCAGTTTGTCTTGGTAGCCAAGTCGTGTACTTGGGCACAATCGTACAAATATCATCTTGACTTAGTTGGTAGCACTCTTTCTTTCCTAGAAGGTCCCACATCAGTCCTGGAGCTCACAGTCTCAGGTGACACTCCAGTGCAGAACTAGGTTGAAATGTGGCATTGGCGGAGATGCTTTCCTTCAAATGGGACACTAAAACAAGGTCCCATAAGAGAAAGAGAAAATGGAGTTTCTCCTGGTGTCCTGCCAGCAGGATGTGGGGCGGGGTGGGGGGGGTGGAATAGGTGGGTTTTGAAAGGCTTCACCGAGCGTGATTATTCCATTCCCCCGCCCCACCAGGAATTAGAAGCTTCAGCCTTCGGAAAAGGAAGAGTAGAGATAAATAAACGGATTGACTTTCTAACCCTGTGCACACGTGACAGTACTTTGCTAACCGTGTTCCACAACTCTCGATCCCGTTCTCCCAGAAGAACATCCGCAGCGGGCAGCAACACTTCCTCTGGCCCCAGAGGTTCCTTCGACTCAGATTGCTGAAGATCTAATTCGGGGAGAAAGAGAAGAGAAATGTACTCCGGCTTTCACCAGAAATAACAACTTGAAACAACAGCTGTGGGCAAACCGGATAGCTTTCCCCTCTCTGAACAACACTGCACCAAAGTCAGAGTCAGACTGGAAGCTGACACTATCTGAGGTCCAGATTATATATTTTTTGTGTCCTGTAATCAACAAGATTAGTTGAAAAGTGGGTTCCCCCCACCCCCCCCCCCATTTCCCCCACTCCTGTAATGAAGCATTGGCTTCATCAGAGAGGGAGAGTGAAAGATGACACGACATTTTAAGCCACTTTTACCTTAACCCTTCCACCCGGACAGATGATCTGCATTGAACTCTGACACCAGTGTTTGACAAGAATGAAAATCATTGATCCTCGGGGACTGCAAAGGTCTTTTGTGCAGCATGTAGGGTATTTACAAGTCAAGTTATTTAAATCACCCTCAGGGAGCAATCCAACACTTGGAAAATCTTCAGGGCTGAAATATTCAGCTCTTTAAAGCTGTACATCCAAAGCACAGGTGCTCTAACCACTGAGCTACAGGACTGCACTATTGCAAGCAGGAAAGCTGCCTCATAGGTATCATGTCGTACAGCCTAACCAGAGGGTGGCTCAAAACCAGGGCAGGACACTTTTTGTCAAGTGAACTGGCTGCTTATTTGCAGGCGAATGCACCAGCCAATTTGCACACAGCGAGGACCCACAAACAGTCATGAAGTGACTGAACGATTTTATCTCTGGGATTATTGGCCAGGTCTCTGGGATGAAATTCCCTTCCCTTTTTTTTTTGGATCACTTAACGTCCATCTGAACAAGCAGATGGGACAAAATAATAATAATACTAACAATAATAATCCTTGTAGTCACCAGCGCTGCCCGAGAGTGTCTCAGCTCAGAAACCCAAACCTTCCGACCCAGATACGAGAGCGCGACCAACCAAGCCCAGCTGGCCACTTGTCCACCCTGACACAATACAGAGTTTAGTGCAGTTAATCACATCAAAAAGTTCAAATGTGGTTTTTAAAAAAAAAGCTTCGCTTTGCAATTAATTGTCCATCGGGGAAAAAAGTTGTCCAGGTGGTGATGCAGCATTGCCGCCCAGTGTTCATTATAGCAAACTACAAGCCTTCCCGGCACGTCGACCTTCTTACTTCCCCTGTTGAAAATGACGCAGAATGTTACAGCACGGAAACAGGCCATTCGGCCCAACGAGCTTATGTTTACACTCCACACAAGGCTCCACCCCACCTTCAGCCATAGTTTCCGGCAGTAGCCTGCGCAAGGACTACGCTACTTACGTCCGCCGAGCGTAAGGAAATTAAAGGGGACGCAACGAGGCTGGGCTTGAAGGCTCAGTTAAGTTTGAGGGCAAAGGAGAATCCTTAGCGGAGTGCGATTCTGTGTGCCATTCACAACCACTTTGTAATCGTGCCCTTCCCTCCATCCCCACTTTCAAATCCTGCCTAAAACCTTCCAGTTTGATCGTGCTTACGGTCACCTGCCCCTTCCCTCTCCCCCTAGTTCGGTGTCAGACTCCGACACTGTCAAATGCTCCGGGACACTGCCCCGCAAGAAGGACGCTATATAAATGCGTGTTGTTGTTGTTGTTGTTGTTGCAATCCCTCAAACTGCAGAAGAGAGCAGCACGGCGCGTGAATAATGGTTCTGGCTTTGAGGAGCGACAGGGTACGTTGGCGCAGGATTCCTTTTGCTTACAGCTAATGTGTCCGTCTTCGTAACGAGGAGAGCGCAGACCTGCAGCCAGAGCCTCAGCATCAATCTCTTCTCACGAAAAATACGCCCGTTGAGATGCAATGTGCCACTAAAGAGGCCCTAATGCATAGTATGAAACTATGCCAAAGGATACCTCGGACTGTTAAACCAATAATGGCTGCCAGCCCCTGGCACATCATCAAATCTCTTTTAAAAGGTTCAGTAGCAATTAGTGCAGCGATATATTTATGCAACGCTGGCACACTCAGTACATAAAGTGCAGAGTATTAAAAAAGGAACATAAGTTACACTTATCCTCTTAAAGCTCTGAACTAACAGAAACTCCTGCTAATCAGTTAGTGTCCACCAGCAGATTGGCATCAATCCTACACCAACAACAACAGCAAATGACATTAATTACATTTTACTGGAAAAGCGAAGCTGGTCTATAAATATTACGGTTCCACCCTACATTTCTCCGTTAAAGTCTCCTCCGTGTTCAGCTCTTTCTCTCCGGCCTTCACCTTCCAGGCAGTGACAGCCTCGGTCTCGATTCTGTGAACAGCTCGCTCCTCCACGTCTAACCTCTGCTTCCACTCTAGCAGCTCCTCTGCCAGTTGCCGATGCCTCAAAAGATCCTTCTCTTCTCTGGTCAGGAACCTATTGAATGCAAAGAGCTACCAATCACTCGGGAATCTATGAGCCCTGTTAAAATATGATCAACCACTGGAGCATAATTTGCCTCAGGGCCCTGAGCTATGGAGAAGAGGGAGCTTGGGCCTCTGTTCTTGATCGCTATCCATTCCCCCACTGACTGAAAACAAATGTGCATGTCAGTGCATCCATTGAGGACGCACTGGGCCAAGATTCCCATTTGAGGTAGACAATGAAAGGCAGCTGGTGCCCTTCATCCCAGCAACATCCCAGCCAATGACAAGGTCTTCTCTCGGCTAGTCTGGAATCCGTACCCCTCCTCCCCTCACATCCCACCGGAGATTCATCAGCCGTTGGGAAGAAGCTACTCTTTGCACCTCCCTCCCTCTCCCAGATGAGAGCTGTGTGACATGCACCACCATGTGGTTAGAGGGTAAGGAACAGGCCTCACCTGTGGCTGGCAGGTGGATGCCATGGACAGACAAATCTTCCTAAAACTAAATCTCTGTTATTGGACCATGGGAATAGCAGGATGGTAGAAGGGGAACTTGATGGACCTGGGTCTTTGTTTCGTCCAGCAATCACTATGTTCCTACGTTTCTAAAACACAGGTAAATTTCTGGACAATGGGACTCAATGGACTCACTTTTCATCCAAGTGGCTGCGGGTTTTCTTCAGTCGGTCCACGATGGCGGTTCCGGTCTCTGAGGTGGATACCTGACGGCTGCTCCAGTCTTGTGTGTCAGAAAGCCGGGGGCTTGACTCTGGACTGGCCGAGCCTCCAGACCTTTTCGACACTTGTAAAATCTAAAGAATAGGCGACAGTGCAGGTTAACAACAACAACTTGCATTTATATAGCGTTCTTCACACAGGTGGGAGTCCCAGGGCAATTGAGGTTAACCAACGGTTGCCTCAATGTGTGGATGCAGGGTTTCCACCTTCAATGTTTCCCAGTGATCCCTAGTAAGGCAATGGCAACTGATTCTGAAACTTCACCGGTTAGTAGAATTACAGTAGAACCTGGATTATCCATTCATTTCAATTATCCACTAAAGCAGATAATGGTGAGAGAGCGGGGCAGTGGGATTGATTTGGGTAGCTCTTTTCAAAGAGCTGGCACAGACGCGATGGGCCGAATGGCCTCCTTTCTATGCTGCATGATTCTATGATTCTACGTTTCAAAAGCTGTGTTGTTCCTGCAATTCGCTGACTCTTACCCTATTGCATTTTACGGACACGTCCAGCTTGCACTGTAGTTGTGCGGTTGACTGACGGATCCTGAAGATTTCCTCCTGTTGTCTCAGCAGCAGCGTCCTCTCCTGATGGGCCACCCTGGAGATGCTTTGGAGGTTCCTGATCTCCATCTGAAAGAGGGGATGAGACAGGAAAGAGACCATGGTCAGGAGTGTCTGAACAAACAGAGCAGACGGTTCAAGGTATCCTTCAGAAAATATAAGAGAATCAGTCACTTGGTGAGCTTGGAGGAAAATTGTCCTCTCCTGGGTTGTGAATGACACCAACATAGTGTTGGTGGTCACAGCAGAGCAATCAAAGGTTCAAATAGGTTTCTATTTGATCTTCTCATTCCAGTATATCCACCCAACCCCAAACTGTAAAAGAAAGACTGTTGGCTTGGCCGGGTCTGTATCGAACGGAGTACCTTGACCTCAACCAAGCTGTTTCTGGTAACCCATTCCTGCTGTTGATTACCCTCTATATAAATAAATCGTTACTGTGTCTACCACGAAACTGCCTTTCACAATTCTAAATGAAACTCCAGCTAAGTTCCCTGTGAATATCTCTGAAATGAGTTCAGCTCCAAGTGGCAAAATACTTCAACAATCCTGCCCAAGTACGTCCCAGCTCGGTTTGGATCTATTGCTCGGCTCTGAAAGTGACCTGTGTGTTCTCACAGGTGTAATAGGTGTTGGTGCCTCTGCCCACCTTCTCCTGTTGCAGCTTGATCAGAATCCCACGTTGTTTGTTAATGATTGTTGGTATTTTGTCATCGTCACCTTTGTTCCTCAGGTGCCTGAAACAACAAACAGGTGATTGTTATTCTGTTGCTTGCTGCGGTGAAATGTAGCACACGGTTATCACACGCGCGGGGAACATCTAGGACAACCTCTGGATCCCCATCCCAGAGCCCCTCCACCTCGCCCCCCCCCCCCCCCCCCCCTTGCCTCCTTCAAGGCCCATCTCAAAACCTTCCATTTCGACCACGCCATCGGTCATCTTCCCTCCTCCACCGCTCCTCGCCCTCCACCCCTTCCCTGATCCCAACCCCCGGCTCGGGTGCAAACTTCTCGTTGTCCAGCGCCTTGGGACGTCCCCCCGACGTGAAAGACGCTGTATAAAAACAATTTGTTGCGGTGTATACTACAAAGAATTCCAAACTCCCCCCTAATCGACCCTCACCCGAAGCAGCACGAAAATCATTAAATTATCCATAATCTGATCAACGTTATCGATCCCGCTCACGTTTTCTGATGCTCCAGCCAGGCCAGCTCAGCCGCGGTCTTTTCTCTCAGTGCTTTTTCGCGGAGACGGAACAGAGCAGCCTGGTGCCTGGCTCGGAGTTCCTCCTCCTTCACATACTGCTGAGCCATCTCTAAGGTAAAACGGCTGAAGGCATCCTGGCTCCCAAAGGCAAGTGGCTGAAAGGAAACCCAGCGGTGAAGATACTGTAAGGCTGGAAAAGGGCTGTAAGTAGCCCAGATATTAAGATGGTAACCTCGAGCCCGGAGAGTTGCTGTGGGAGGTGGGTTCAGCTGGATCCTGACATGCTAACGTGCTGCGTTGGATTTACCTTTTGGAGAGACTCGGTGTTCCACCTGCTGTTGTCCCCGAATTGAACCCTTGAACCACTTCCCACAGTCCGTCTCCAATGGCTCTCAGACGGCAACAAGGACCGGAAGGATTGCTCCACCGACTTGCTCTTGTGAGTCAGCCCATCACTGGCTGAAATGTTGGCCACGGCTGAAATCCAACCTTCATTGAGAAAGTCAATTCAATATACAGCTCGCTTGATACAACTGTACAACTATTTTGTGGTGAAGAGACAAGCAGAAGTTAACAGTCTTTCTCTCCCTCTCCCTCTTTTATTATAATCCTTGCATTCGATACAGCGCCTTATCACGTCTTCGAGACGTCTCAAAGCACTTCACTGAAATATACTGTGAAGCGAATGGTCTGTACGTTTTGTGGCGAAACACGGCAGACAATTGCGCACAGAAGTGATGTGTGTCTGAGTCTCTCTCTCTCTCTCTTTCTATGTGGGTTTACAATAAGAGCATTCGAATGTTCAACAGGAGCTGCACCTTTCCCATCGACGGAGTTCTCCTCACTTCCTGGGCTCTGGATATTCCTCTTCAGATCTCCGGTGCTCCTACCCAGAGGGTTCATCGTGGAAGATCTCAGGAGCTCCTGCGAGCAGTCGTCAGTCAGAGAGCTGTATCTCCCGCTGCAGACGTGGGAAAGAGGAAAAAGAAAATAATCTTCCAAAGACGATTGAATACCTTTGATTAAAGAAACTTGGGATAAACCTGCCCTTGGATGAGAAATGGGATGGATGGAGGGAGGGAGGGGAAAAATTTGATAGGAATTTCTTTTGAAGAAGAGAGTCTTGAGACGTGCCTTGAAGGAGGCAAGGGAGGGGGCGAGGTGTAAGGACTGTGGGATGGAGTTCCAAAAGGTGGGGGCAGAGTGGGTGAAGGCCCGACCACTGATGGTGGGGCGGGCAGGGCTGGCGAAATGGAGCAAACCAGAGTCCGCCGAGAGGAGGGAGCGGACAGGCCTGTATGAGGTTAGCAAGTCACGGAGGTAAATAAACACACACACACACTGTGCATTATACATACACACAACTGCTCTGTCATCTACCTTAGCTGCTCCGTCTCTTCCTTCAGTTGTTTCATGAGCTCAGAGAGTCTCCGCGTCAATGGATCCCACTTCCCCTTCGTGCCATCTGTAGCCGTGAGGTCCCTGGTGCAATGCAGCAGCCTGGAGCCGTCCAGAGGCTGAAAAGGAAACCTCTTCAAAACAATCCCACCGATATCCATTCAATTGCTTTCTATTCACAGTCGGACTCCGTTATAACACGTCACAGTATATAGCACAGGTCGGTTTATAGCACAGTCACACCGTGAGATTATAATAGTAATAATAATTCTTGCATTTGCTGTAGCGCCTTACCAACTCAGATCGACAACCTATGCCACATGGTGCCTTAACCACAAGAACACCACAATTGAACACTTTTACTAACAACATTGCATTTATATAACTTGCCCCTCACAGGGGGAAGGAACAGGTGACCTTTGGCACGGCCGAAGAAGAACGCGACCTGAGAACGAGGAAGGAGTGGGCAAGGCGGAGGGATTGAGGGAAGAGAGTTCCAGAGTTTCGAAGCCGCAGTGGCTGAAAACCGATGGTGTAACGGAGGGCACGAGGGACAAGCAGGAGGCCAGAGCCAGTCGAGCGGAGGCAGTGGGTAATTGGTTTGGGGAATAAGCGGGTTCTCTGCACGTGCATCAAGAAATTCTTACCTTTGCGTTGAGCGCAGAGTGGGCAAGGCACTGCCCACCCTCCTCAGTCACAGGGCAGTGCCTGGTGCCCACCACATCTGCTGGGTTACAATAAGCAAAGTGAAGGTGTGTTGAAACTGGTGCTACTTAAAATCAACTAACGTCTTAACTACCTCAAACTCATCCCCCGCCCTCTCCGCTTCACAAAGCCTCGAGTCCCTACTAACCGTTGGAACTCCAGCAGGGAGACAGAGCAAGAGCACAGACAGGAGGACAGCGGAGAGCCTGGAGCCCTTGCTGTCTGTCAGCCGGGCTATCTCGCCTGGATCACTGAGGGCAATATTCTCACGGCGTCTGTTAGAAGTGGATCGCATCTTATAAAAAGTGATCAACCAAAAAAAATCAGTATTTTTAAACCATCGGCAGAAGTTAATTATATATAGTTACATACACACACACAAACACACACACTTAAAAGTATGCACATTCACTGACGCACAGAAACGTGTACAGTAAAACTCGCATAAATCTGATCTGTATGGAATCGTACAAACATCTAAGTCGTACACCTTGTCCAAGTCCCGTTGGACTTCCTGCAACTTGTACAAGTTTCACATGCCTCACACTTTGCAGACACCATATTAAACGTATGGTCCCAACTGTGATTCTGTGAGGTTTAACTGTGCACATTCAGCACCTCTGACCACGCGGAGCCCTGGACGGTCAGCCTAGACTGCGAGCCGTGGACTACGGGCGGCTGCTTACCGGAGTGCTTCCCTTTGCCGGTCTGCTTCGCCGACAGATGTCGAGAGGGTGACCTGGGCCGAGTCGGTGATGGTGACTCGGGTGAACACAGCCTCTGGGTATTTGGACCCATTGGGGACCACCGGTTGACGTCTTGCCCGCTGCTCATTTCCTGCTCATTCCTAAGTGGGGGAATAAACGAATGAAACACAGAAGCTTCAAGAGATTTTCTTGCGTCAGCGAATACTTATGGGTGGTTTTGAAGGAAAGCTGAATTCCCACGTGCAAAGTCCACGATTGCGGCAGAAAGCCTCGTGCGAGGGAGTGGCGATTGGGTTGATGCTTTCAGTGGCCGAACGCACACGCGCCACAAGATTTGCCCCCCTCGCCCAAATCTCATCACATTTTATCCAAGTGACGGAGACCCATCAGTTATAAAACCAAAGCGATGGGCAGAGGCTTCGTGTCTAAGCTGTGAACTTGGATATTTTTCTTCGCGTCAAAAAAAAACGCCCGCTCTCCTTTCGATGTGGTGGGAGGGGAAGAAACCGCAGCAGTGACAAAAGGTGGGAACGTGTTTATATTAAAAAAAAGGAGTATTTAGTGTCTTGCTCCGTGCTGTTGACGGCACTTAGATGTGTAATGGCGACAGATGTTTTCTTGCACAGCAACACAGCTGTCAAATTGTTTTTCTCTAGAATCAGCTTAAAGAAATCTCATTTCAATTTGCGTGTGTGTGCGTGTGCGTGTGTGTGTGTGTGTGTCTGTGTGTGTGGGGTGGGGGTGTTAATAAGCTGTTCCCTCTCCGGCTCGCAGTGACCCAGAAACAGCCAAGAGAGTGAGCTTAGTGGTTTAGTCTCATGTCTCAAACACAGTCGTTCTTCACTTACTGAAAAGAAATCGATGGAAACTGACATCAACTCATGGGGAAGAGCAAGTGCTAGAAAGTGACAGAGAGAGAGAGAGAAGGGAAGAAAGAGAGCGACAACTCATATAACCTATTTCCTTTGTTACTTAACTTTAAGGCGAGTGATGATCTGGAATATCATTTTGTATGTTATTATAATAATAATAATAATAATAGGTATTTCTGGCTCTTTGTTACACCTGTGGTCTATCAAACACCGCAAACGATAGCTATTTTTTTCGAAAGATCATAAGATTGTTATGGGATACACACAAACACGACAACTTGCACATATATAGCGTCCTTCATGCAGGGCAGCGTCTCGGAGCGCTTTACACACTTTTTCCCCAAATTAATCTTTTGGGAACTAAAATATAAAGTCTCAAAACAAGAATCACAGCGATAGGCGAGTCCGGGCTGCATATTATATGAAATATATATACACATATATATATATATATAATATCTGTCAAGGCAATCGATATGGGGAGGATCAAAATGAATCCAACTGTCTGACAAACTGGGCAATTGTTTTCAATTGTGTGAAGCCAGCTGCAATTGTCTGGCAACAACCAATCTTCTTAAAAGACTTTATCTGTCCTCGTGCTCCACTAAACGTCACTGAGCCTATTGTTTGGGGGCTGCACATTAAATATATTAACAGGACCAAAAAAAAAAATCCTTATTAAATTATTGGCAGCTGGGAAAAAATAAAGGTTACAGGTGCTTATCCTCCACAGCTCCACCCCTCACTCCCCCACCCCTCGCCCTCACCGCAGATTACCAAATAAACCTTTCTAATGTTGAAAAAAAAACAACTAATCCCACTCCCCACTTCCCCACCCCCCCCACCCCCCCACCCCCAGCCGGGATCCGAAGCAGTGTAACATGACAGAATTGTTCTGTCACCCGAAGATTATTAAGCCTTACTAGCTCGTTCATCCACCATTAAGCAGTCTTTGGGCTCACCGAAAGATTACGCTTTGCGTATTTTTTCTCTGAAAAAGCAATACATTTACAACGCATTTCAATTTGCATCCGGCCCGGAGACAGTCAGGCTGTCCTTATTGCGAGCTCCTACCTTTTGCCTGTCGTAAACCCAAGCTGATGTTTGCATTTGATAATGGTGCCTTATTCCATTGTCTAAGTGTCTCAAAGGGTTCATTGAAAGTGTAGTGACTGTGTACGGTACGTTGTACAGCCATGTCATTGCTGTACAGACAGCCTGACCAATTTCATCTGGGGAATTGTTGCGCAGGACCCCAGGAGAGAGAAACTCCCTTTTATTTTCGAGGAGTGCCGTAGGATCTTTAACGTCCACCCGTCCAACACCTCCCAACGATCCGACCGTCCGCAAAACACTGCATTTCATTTTTAGCAACAAAAAAAGTGGAGACAGAAATTATTAAACTGTTTTTTAAAAAAATAGCCCATTAAAAACTTGAACTGGTCAAAAATCTCTTTTGTGGCGACTAAACACGTAGAAATTCCATCGGGAAAATTAGATTAAATTCAGCCTTTAATTTTGAAGCTGGTTTTCCGTAAGTTTCTATTAAGGACACACAGAGGATTAAAAAGAAGACACAGGCCTTTTTCCGAGCACCCCCTCCCCCCCAATCTATCTCTCTTTCCTAATCTCAGAAGCACCAGCCCACTTTACGTAGCACACAATATCCTGGGAAGGACATTAATGCACATCGGCTGACACCTACCAGTAAGTGGGTCGAGACACAGCCTGAGCTCAATTTACTCAGGGTCCTTAGCAGCCAGAGAGAGTTAGAAGACTCTGATCCGATCAGTCTGGGCTGGATTAAACCCAGGTCTGGGAGGTGGCAGAACAGTCTATCCCATCCTGTCCCAGGAGGGAAAAGTATAACTCCCCCTCCGCCCCAATCAGTGAAACAAAGTACCCTTGTCTTTATTTTTTGCAGAAAAATCACAAATTTATATATTACACACACACGTACGCTTGTTTTCGTGTGTTTTGCCAACAAAATATGCAGTCAATTTACAATATATTGCGTGAAGCGCTTTGAGATGTCTCTAAGACATGATAAGGCGCTATATCAAATGCAAGGCTTATTATTATTATTATTATACACACACATATGTGCTTATATGTGCATATATGTCATAGACCTACCACAGCCATGTATGAGGATATATATGAGCGTTTGTATATTAATTAAACAGTCAGTAAAGCAAAAAAGCCTCTCCCCAACAAAGGACAACTTTCACTTCCTAAACAATTGACAGTTTATAAACATATTCGATTAAATCACAATACACTGCAGGCAAAAACATATGCTCTTATATACCTGTGATTCAATCATTGATAATAAACTCCCCCCCATTCCCTTGAACGCATAGGAATCTGTATTTTTTTTAAAAAGTTGCTTATGATTTTGTTAGTATAAAATGAAACCGTTCACTTCCGTGATGAACCATTCACCATTTCAGTCCCGCGCTTAAATGTCTTCCCAGTTCTCCCCCTCCCTCAACTTCCTTCTGGCATCGCCAACAAAATATTTCAGCATCGGCGCCAGATGCAGAAACGGTCAAGGTTGTTCATTGGCCAAACGCAAGGCGGAAAAATGATAAAGAGAAATCAGTTTAAAAAAATTCTTGCAATACAAAAAAAAATCTTTACCGATAATTTCATAACACATGTGGCGGGGTTGCTATTGTGAGCACGGAGATAATCTCCGGATAGGGAAAGGCTTTTTTCATTAAAATAGATGCAAATGGACTTCACTTGCACTGTCTTAACCTTAAACTATTCGTTAATCCCACAGACAAAAGCAGGGATGCTGTCTTAATGCAGCAGTACTATTCCAAGAATCAACAGGATAAAGCGGGTGCTGTAATAATAATAATAATAATCCTCGCAATTGATACAGCGCCTTATCGCGTCTTCGAGACGTCTCAAAGCACTTCACAGAATATACTGTAAAGTGAATTAACTGTATATTTTGTGGGCAAAACACGGCAGTCAATTGCGCACAGCAGCGTCCCACAAACAGTCGTGGGTCGAAGTGACCAATTTCATCGTTTTTTTACTTTGTTTATAGACACAATGCTGGTCAAAGCGCTGTGGTGACCGGCTGGAAACATTTGAAGCTGTTCAAATGCTTCATTTGAAGCTTTTGAACCATTGCACTGGAACCTTTTTACACCAATGTCCCTCCCCGCCAAGGGATCTATTCAACAATGACCCAGAGAGCAGATCGCTCGATACCTTTAATGGTCTCCGTCCACCTGTCTGGGCTTTGGCTCACAGGGTTGAGAACATTTATACTCCCAGATCGTGTGGATGAGGCAGATGGGCTGGTCATCGGGATCAGTTTAATGCAAGCACGTCAGCCAGCCTGTGTGTCAGCCTGGCTCGGTCGATGGCACTCTCCCATCTGAATCAGAAGCTTGCGGGTTCAAGCCCCACATTGGGACTTTGAGTTCACAGTCTCGGCTGACTTGCCAGTGCAATGCTGGAGGGGGGGGTTTACTGCGCAGTTTACTGGATGCGCAGTCCTTTGGATGAGATGGTCACGTCTGCCTGTTCAGCTGGACATTAAAGATTCCATGTTTCTATTCGAAAAGAGAAGGGAGTTTCTCCTGGTGTCGTGGCCGACAATCCCCAGATAAAATTGATCATTCGATCATGGCTGTTTGTGGCATATTCCTGTGCGCAAGTTGCCTGTGGCATTGACCTACAAAATGCACGGCCACTACACTTTCCAGGATATCCTGTGAAGCGTTTTGAGTCATTTTGCCGACGTGATAAGACGTTATATGATTCTTGTGTAACTTACTTTAAAAAGTGCTTTCGAGATGTTGTGATAGCTATAGCAAATGCGAGCAATATATGATAGCAACATAGTCCACTGGTTAATAAATCAGCAGAGTCGGAGTCCTCATCTCACCCTAACCTAAGTGGACTTAGGAACGCAAACTAAATTGCGCGCTGAATCAGAATTAAACAAACAGATCCCAAAGGATGGTTGGAAATGGACTAATGCCAATATTTATACAGAGAAGGGATGAAAAGCAGATGGGAGATCAATGAGCATTAGGATTTAAAATGAAACCTGACCGCCTGAATTATATTCAGTGATCAATTGCCTGTATCTCAGACAGCGTGAGCACAGGTTAACTTCAGTTGAGGCAGGAGGAGGTGGGGGGGAAGGAAACTAGTGATACCTGACGTCAATGAAAGGATATGGTCAGACTTTCCCCCCCACACAGAGGGAATCCCGCGGATATTTAAAGAACCATGGCTGAAGGCGCTATCTTGCGGAATATTCCCTTCTCTTTTCGAGTCTTGTCACGGGATGGTTGATGCCAGCCCTGACAATAGGAGCTCAGAGACCTGCCTGTTACACAACTGCAGCCGGGAAACAACCACGGAACAGAACTCGGGTCCAACCACAAAGGTTTTTCTTGACTGTGAGAGTGTGTGGGGTCTTTATTTGTGTTGCCCAGATCAGAGAAAGAGTACGAGGGCCATCTGGTGGACAAGCCCTGGAAGCACTGAAGACCAGCTCTGCGGTGGGGAGTGGACGAATAGGATTAAAAGATCTGCCAAGACTTAATGCACGAGCGGAACAGGCTCGATGGGCCGAATGGCCTCCTCCTGCACCTGCTCACTTTGCAATATGACATGAGACATGTGATGCAGAGCAGAATGGCTGAACAATAATCCACACGTACACACACACACGCGCAGGCGCGCACACACGCAGGGCTAGTGTCAAGCATTACCTTCCATGTCCTCTCCTTGTTCCTCTCCCCTCTCCTGTGTCAAAGGACCTTTCAACGTCAGCAGGTTTATTGGGATATTCTGCTGGAATTCAGAGCCAGAAAATAGACCTTACATGTGGCTTTTTCAACAGCGACTTTTCGATTTTCAATGGGTAAATACAAACCTTAATTTCTTAACATACTATAGATTTGGACCAGTCAGTTTCCATCACCAATAAAACAGGGTCAGGCTACAATGAGGTGGGAGCAGTTATTGTGTGTCAACTAAAACTCCCAGGTCTCTTTCAATCTTGTTAAATTTTATTACGTCCATGGAGTACACGTGCCTCTTACCTTCACCTGCTGTATACAGACAGTAGCTTCCATTACCTGCATTGATTTTTCCTACCTTGCTTCCTCTCTGTCAGGAAGTCTCCTTCCGTCTCTCTGGAATCTCTCTGTGGCTCCTGTCCCACGAGAGGCTCAAAGTCGCTCCAAAAGACGTCCTCGTTGTCTGTTGTGGAACTGCACAGCAGCTCGTCCATCAGATCACAAACCTCTGCCTCTCCTTCATTCACGTCATCTCCCTGTGGGTCTGTACACTTTTGGAAAGATTTGGGAGAGAATCTGGTGCCCATAGAATGCACTATTGCTGCTGTAGCTGGGTCAGTGTCACTGGGATAGTTCTGCTTGGAGTAATCACCCGCTGTGGGAACGATGGACACAAATGGGTCCAGATAATTCCCTCTCCATCTCTCGCTCCGATCTCGGTGTCCAGGGCTCTTCAGAACTTGCGCATCGACTCCGAGTCTTTCAGCTTCGCTCTCGACACGGCCAGAGAGCGAGGCAGCCATTCCACGGAGAGCTTCCAGTCTCTCCTGCTTACTCCTGCGCCCTTGGCAAGGCTCTGGAGCAACGTTTAAGCTGATCTCAGAGCCCGTGAGAGGCGCCACTAGACCCACAGAAACGGACCATTGCCCGGACATTCCCACGGGAGAGAGATGCTGCAACTCCAGGTCCTTCAAATCAAACGCAAGGATTAATGCATAGGTTTTTAGTATTATTATTTTAATAAGAGTTGCTGAGGGGAGGATCAGTGCGTTTGGGACTAAAAGTCAAACCAAGTTTCTCGGAGGCAGCTTCAGCAACAGGAGACACGTGAGAGCTTCATTTAGGGATGAATAACCTCTGGAACTCCCATCCCCCGACTTGCCCTCTCCCCTTTCTCACCTCAAATCTTACCGCTTTGAACTTGCCTTTGCCCACCTCCCCACCACTTTGTTGCTTGGCACTCGCCCCAACCCCATCCTTGTAGAGCGCTCTGAGATTTTTACCCTACGTGAGGAACGCTGTGTAAATGCAAGTTGTTGTCGAACAAGCCTAGACGAGCCTCTCCCCCTGTTTGTCCACATCATTCAATTAACATAGGCCCTTCGCATTTGCACTCGGAGGGGAAAAAAAACTCGGATCACGTGGGCACACAGTAAACAGACGTGGATCGAGATTCGATGAGGATTAAAATTCCGAACTTTGCTTTAGAGGAACTTACTTTCCTGGTGGATTCCTCCCGCGCCGTGTGGGGATTGCCCCGTGTTGTCGGAGAAGCCTCTGGCGGTTTCTCCCTCTTCGAGAGAGCTTCCCTCTGTTTTTTGTACACCTCCTGCAGCCTCCTCTTCTTCGTGTCCACGGCGCGCTTGACCGACCGCCTCTCATCCATCTCTTTCTTCTTCCGCTCCGCCTGCCGCCTGCTCATGTAAGCTCGCGCTCCCTCCGCGTCGTAACTGCGCGTCCTCCGAGCGCGGGTCCCTTCCCCGCTTTCCCTGCCCTTCCTAGGATCGTTCCCGAATGCACTAGGGGATCTGCTTCGATCGGGTGAGACGCTCCTCCTTCTGCGATCAGATCCCGACCTGGGCACGTTCTCTCCCAGCTCTCCGTGAAATGAACGCCTTGTGCTCCTGACGGGACTCACACTCCCCACCGTTCGAAGGCTTTGGCCTCTCTCCTCCGATCTCCCAAACCAGCCTTGGCCCATTCCCATCCCTTCTGCCAATCGCAAACCTTCTACATCTCCGTTTACACGCTCACACTCCACTCGCAGGTCCCTTTCAACACCAGCACCGAACTGGTCAGGGCTTGAACCTTTCAATGAGCTTCTCGAACCCTTTTCAAATGTCACAAGTCTTTTGTGTTCCACCGTGACAGAGCTCGGCACGTCTCTTTTCATCGGCTGATCTGTTTAAAAAAAAATAGTATACCGATCTCTGCAATACGCAGGAAATAATAGGAATGTAGGAATATACATTAGGACGACCATATTTTGTAAACCGAATCCGAGGACACACACATTATATTAAAAAAAATTGAACTCACCGTAACTCCTGAGACTGGCAGGAGGAAACATAGGGACAGGAGGAGGCCATTCAGCCCCTCAAGCCTGTTGTCCAATTACTTGCCTTTGCCCCATATCCCTTGATACCCTGACCCAACAAAAATCTATCCACCTCAGTCGAGATTTAAAGTAACATTGTTAATAGTTGATTACCTTCTGAATCTGTGTCGTTGCTCTCAGTCTGACCCAGGGACCTGTCCTGGGGCTTTGGGAGTTTAGGAGGTGGGCCGAGTAACCTCCTCACCAGCCTCTGCCCTTCTCTCCAAGCTGCCACACCGAAAGGGTGAGGTCCTGGCAGTGAAACAAGTTTTAGGATTAATTGTTAACAAGTGTACTTACAAATGTAATAATCCTTGTAATTTATTGTGAGGCATTATGTCAGTCTGGCTCCGTGGCTAACACTCGCGCCTCAGGGTCAGAAGGTTGTGGATTCGAGCTCCAGGTTAGGATTCTGAATTGCCAATCTAGTCTGACGTTCCGGTGCAATACTGGGGGCACCGCCATTCAGATGAGAGTTAAACTGAGGTCCCATCTGCCTGTTCAGGCGGATGTTAGAGATTCGAAAAGAGAAGGGAGTTTCTCCTGATGTCCCGGACGACAATGCCTCCCAAATAATACTCTGTCCAACGCCTTGGGACGTCCTCCAAGAGTTGCAGGATCTTTAATATCCACCTGAACGGATGAGGCAGATGGATGACGTCACCTGGAAAGCAAAGTTGTTCGAAACAAGAAGGATTGTCGCCATTAAATCACTGGGGCACTGGGGACAGGGACCTTTGAACTCTCATCCATCTCTCCGCAATGCCACCCTGACTTCACCCCAATAAAACCTGTGACAGGGGCAGTTACGATGACAAATGTTGTGCGAGTTACTGCTCGCGAGCATGGTCTCCAAGGGGAGCCTTGGCAATCGTTTCCAACAGGCTGCTTCGAGGAATTTGCGGAAAAAAAATCATTTCAGTGCGTTTCAAGGCGGAGGCTTCAGGGCCTGGGGTGCCCCCACAAAAATATGTGTAACTTCCTGCGTTATCAATCCCTAAATTATACTTACTGATTAAGCTTTCCGTCGCTCAACGTCACTGAGTCTTAACTGAGCTCCAGCCCAGTCAGCAGCCCCACGTCAATGCTGTGAACCACTGCCCCAATTCATATTTTACATTGAAAGCAAAGATATTGTAGCATTGGAGAGAGGGAGAGAGAGAGAGAGCGAGAGAGAGAGAGAGTGTGCAGTGTATGTGTGCAAGGTTGTTACCAGGAGGGAGGGAAATACAACGATCGAGAAAAATTGGACAGGTTAGCGCTTTTCTGTCTGGAGATCAAAAAATTTAAGTGTTGAGAAATTAAGACCCGATAAGAGGTGTTGCAAATTATGAGAGGATTCGACAAGATGGACCTTAATAGGTCGTTTCCTCTTGTTGGTGAGTCCAAAGGAGTATAAACGTGAGAGAGTCAGGAGCAGATCTCAGGAGAGTTTAGAAGGAACACTGACACTGTAGGTATTGAGGGCTATGGTGAAAGAGCAGGACATTGGAATTAAACGAAAGCTCTGCTAAAACTAGTAGGTCTTACTGGGCTTCTCCTGTTCCTGTTTTCCTCATGTTCCTATGAATCTAACACGTGATAGATGGGCTCACGTGGATGTAGGTAGAGGATGGCATGGCATCAAATCCACGACTGTTTGTGGGACACGCAATTAATTGGCTGCCGCGTTTCACCCACAAATCACACAGTCAATTCACTTTATAGTATATTCCGTGAACCGCTTTTGAGATGATTCAACGATGTGATAAGGTGCTGTATCAATGCAAGGGTTATAATAAAAGCCCGGCCTCCGAATCAGAAGGTTGGGGGTTCAAGCCCCATATTGGGACTTCACGGGCTGATCCTCTAACGCACCGCTGGTGGTGAACTGCATTGCCAGAGGTTCTGTCCTTCGGGTTAGATGTCGCTGGGAGGGAATGGCTAACGTCTCACTCTGCATCAATCTTGTTGAAAAACACGAGATTAAATCCCTTAGACCTCTGATCTCGAGCCACGCTTATCGTGACCTTTAACCTATCAGCTACCACCTGCTGACCCCTCACGATGACAAATTGCCCGACTCTGACCCACACGTTTCAAAACTTGACACGGCAAATCCTTTCTGACGTTCGCGGCTTTTTTTTTTTTAACCTCAATTGCCGTGCACAAATTGCCTATAAAAATACACACTATGCTTTCGGGTATGTGCTGCGAAGCCCTTTGAGACGTCCTTCTAAAAGGTGCGCTGTCAAACCCAATGATTAATTGTATTTTATTACTGTGAGGCTTGAACCCTCAATTTCTGACCCAGAGGCGAGGAGAGCTCGGAACTGTGCCAGGCTTTCGCAGCACGTACTTCTCGAAAGAGCGCCTGATATATCCACCGCGACCCTTTTACCTGGGCCTCTGGCCGTTCTCTTCGGGCTGGGTGATGAGCAGGCGCGCGAGTCTTTGGGAGTTACTTTGTTCTTATTTCTTTCTGTGTTCTTCGGCAGGCTGGCTCCCCGCTCTGAAATTTAAATACAATTCCTCTTGAGCGAGAGAGAGAGACAGCGAGAGAGAAACAGCGAGAGAGAGAGAGAGAGAGAGAGAGAGAGAGAGAACGAACAAAAAACACAGCAGCCAAGAGTTGACGAGCTAAATCGCTTCCTGCGCGTGAACATTCTACCTGCGATCCGGATTCCCAGGTCCCTGCGTCTTATCAGCTCTCGTCTGCCGGTCCAAGTCTTTTCGGTAAACTTCCCCTCCGTGTCCTCCGAAACCAGCGAGCCTTTCTTCATTTCCATTACGTTAAACCCTGACACAGATTGGAAGTAAAGAAAATGACTTGGGGTTCAGTCTTACACAAGCAGAAAGCTTTGTGCTTTCCAAATCCCGATGTGTGACTCAGAGCCAACTGAGCCAGGCTGACACTTTTGCCCACAAAAATACACCGTCAATTCACTTTACAGTATATTCTGTGAAGCACTTTGAGACGTAATAAGAGGCTATATCAAATCCAAGAATTATTATTATTATTATTACTACTACTACCGGCATATAACCCACAAGGTAAAATAAAAGCAGCTCAAACCATCCACAACGATGATTGAAACATTCACTGCTTAATTGTGCCAACAGCCTACAAAATACACAGTCACTGCGTATACAGTGAACAGTGAATCCTGCAAAGTGCTTTTGGATGTCCTTGCGACGTGAAAGAAGCTATATATCAAAATGCAAGGATTATTATTATTTTTAATAAGAGTTAGTGGATTAATACTTTGTTTTCAATGAAGTACCATCACATTCTCCATGTGAGAGAAGTGACACTGGTGTCATTATCGAACACTGAGACGTTACGCTCTTCCTATCGATGTTGTCGTCCATGACTAATGCACTGGCAGGAGCGATAGAACAGCAATCTGGCCGAGCCCTAACCCCAGATTTGACAGACGACTGAACAATAACTCAACCTGTCACCAGTTGCAGATTGAAGCACGTTTCCAGTTAAACAACCTTCCTTGGCATTATGCAAGAGAGACACATTCACAAGAGCCGGCCAAAATAAACAGAGTGGAGCCCTGCAAGCTCACGGGGAGGTCAAACGTGAACTCACTACTAAAGGATTAAATGCTACAATCAGCTCAGCCCATGCGAAATGATCATTAAAATAATTACTGGCTACTTGTGCCCTCAGCTTACAAAACACACAGTCACCGCACTCTATAATAAACCCATTGAAGCGCTGTGAGACATTCTCCCGATGTGAAAGGTGCGCTATCACGTGCAAGGTAAAGTTGGTAGAACAGGCTCGATAGTCCTATTCCTGTTCCTATAAGCTGCTACTTAAATCCAGATGGGATCACGTGAGGTGCCGTTACACATGCACACCTGTGTACAGCAGGTGCACGTTACTGTACGGCAAATGAGATCCTGGGGATTGTAGTGCACAAGACTCCCATCCTCTACAAAGCGAAGCTTGTGTCCGTGTTAAGAACATACGAATGTGTTCAACCAGACAGGGATCATTGCCCAGAGAATCGTTCTCCAAACCCGCACATCACTTCAATGGCCAATGATCAAGTCTGACACACACACACTACACACACTCACACACACACACTACACACACAAAAGAACCTCGAGGCTGTTACTTACCTTGGTAAGCAGGTGCTGGGGGGCCATGGGTCACCTTCCTGATCAGTTTTTTTGCTGAAGCGGTTTTGAAAGAACCCGCCATTTGCTGGTCAGTTTGGTTTGGAGCCTGGATGGGCTGCTCTGGCTGGAGCCCGGAACCTCTGCATTCCTTCTGCTGCTGCCTCTGCTTCCTTATGAGTTCTCTGAGCTTTTCCAGCTTGCGAGCGGGAGATTTGCTACGCAACAGCTCAAGCCGTTGGGCAAACGGACTTCCAGGAGGAGAAAGTGAAAGAGCAGTAAATGATGGCTCCGGAGATGGTTTTCTATCTTGTAAAATCTCCCATTTATTGGTGGCGTAGAGGTCATCAAAAGCCAAATCACTGCCGTCAGCACCAAGGGCACTTCCTTTACACCACTGAATGGATTGGCCCAAGTTACTGTAGACGTCCACCTCATTAGCAATGTCCCACTCACTCTCCATTGAACCCGCATCTACCATCGTACTCAACCTTCTCGAGATGTCTCTGGGAGATGGGTTAATGCTTAGACCTGGACAAGGATTGCCGGGGGTTGTCCTAGCATGTGTTGTACGCGGAGGGAAATCTCGCTGACCGATGCCGTTGTAAGCAGGACTCCCTCCGCCGCTCCAAAACTCTCTCCCTGAAGGATGGAGGTTCTCAGATGCACTCTTCCATTTCCTGCCAGGGCTGGTCCTGTTTCAGGAGGCAGTTAGAGCACGGTTGAAAAAAAAAGAATAGTTGCTTAAAAAAGGCTTGCTAAGATTTGCTTTTGTTTTAGTGGAGGAGGAGTCAGAGAATTCTTAACATCAAACCTTTCACAGACGAGAGTTATCTCAAGCCCTGTGAACTCTTAACGTTCAATAGTTTTTGATTCTAGTAATTTTTACCCAAGGCTTCGGTGTACGGAAACAATAATAATAATACAGTGTAGAAAAAAACGTTAAGAACATAGAGAATCCGTAAAATCGGATAAAAGTGTATTATGCGGCTCGTACGAGTGTATTATATTATGGATTTTTGAAACTAAATCCTAAAGAATTTGGAAAGGTTCCTTTCGGTGCATGTAAACTGAATCAGCTATTGCCAAGTGCAGTGTCAGCAGGTCACTGCTGCGTACAAACATTGAGATGTACCCATAACAACAGCACAACCTCCAGGGAAACTAAAGCCACTTTAAAAGAGGCATTTTTTGTTTTGTTTTGTTGTTTTTAAGCGGTGGTTAAAGAGCCAGAAATAGTTTTGCCACAAACAATACTGCAACGAGATTTATCCCACCATCACGAGTCCTGGGTAAAAACAAAGAGGTGATGGTTTGCCAAATGGATTGCCACAACTTTTGCCAAGTCCTGAATCCGGACAGGGGGCAGGATGTGGGTAGCTGGGGGGAGGGGGGAGGGCGTGGGGGTGGGGTGGAACATGGCTTCAGTTCTGCTGTTTGCTTCACTGCCAGTGGGATTGATTGGAAACATATTGTTTGTCTCTGCAATGTAATCCCCTGACCATCGCAGGAGGCAAAAGCTTTAGGGTCATCAGCTGCTTCTCTGGCTTCGTGCCCCAATGGACATTCAGACAGCAAAGGGTCTGTGCCTATATCTCTATGTGCGGTGATGTGCTATGTTCACGACTGGTGATGGAAGTTTGCGGTTGAGTGTTACAGAGAGAGAAAAAATTCACATGTGGCGCCTTTCATCGAGAAACATTGTTCTTGAGACATTTGAGAAATCTGCTTACCTGCAGGAGGAGGGAGTTTGATTTGACCTCCCATCACCATCCTTGCTGCAAGCTGTATCTCTGCTGCAAGCAGCATCAAGTGGTGGGCAAAAGCCTGGCTTAAAAGTCCTGCTGGTATTCTTCACGCTGCCTCCTACAGCAACACACAAACAGCTATTTCAAAAGCCTCCTCATATAATTCAGCCAAAGGAATGACGTGTGGCCCAACGTGAACTGTCGAATTCATCATTTCGACTCACAAAGTCCTCAAATCGTTGAATACACTGAGATGTATTTTTTCTCTACAGAACAGTGATTTCAATCGCTGCTCTCCCTTGGCTCTTTTAATTATTTATGGCCCATCCGACAATGCAAAACAACCAAACGATAGTTTGATCCTTTCAGTGCAGAGCTGCAGTGAAATCACAAGATCAATTGGATGAAGAAAGCCCTTTGACCCATTGTAACTCACCTCTCCATAACACCCGCCTCCCATCACAGTGTCAACCCGTTTTTTTAATGAGTCCAGAGTCCTGAATTATTCGCTATTTAACCTGTCAATTCCTTTGGATGAGACTTTAAACCGAGGTCCCGTCTGCCTGTTCAGGTGGACGTTAAAGATCCCATGATGTTATTGGAAAAGAAAAGGGAGTTTCTCTCTCTCTCTCTCTCCCGGTGTCCTCCAATCCCCCAAATAAATCTGGTCACTCGCTCCATGGTTGTCTGTGGGACGTTGCTGCGCGCAAACTGCCTGTCGCATTTCGCTCACAAAACAAAACACAGTCGCTCCATTTCAGTGAATCCCGTGGAGCTCTTCGAGACGTCTCGACGACGTGACAAGGGGCTGCGTCGAATGCAAGGAAGAAGAAAGGATTTTAAACTCACCTGTGGCCTGATATTGCAAGCCACTCGGACCGGTCTGTGCCAGGGGAACCCGCTGCTCTTCAAACTGGTACTTGTTTTCAATCTGCCGTAACTAGGAAGTGAAGGCCGAGCGGTTATTAAGCACACAATGCACGTCCAGCAATGTGTTAACACAAAAAAGGTCTTTCTTTCCAAACCAATGGATTTATTTCAGCTGACACCATTCTAAATGGCAACCAGATTACAACGCAAAACCCCACTGCAGTCTTTTAGTTATATTCCCCCTGCTGAGAATTTTACTGGGCATGTAGGATTTTCCCCTATTAAATGTACAGGGGCAAGGCTGATGAATTTTTCAACTGGAGGAAATTAATTCTCTTCTTGTACGTTACCTCTTCAATGAGCAGAAATCAATTTTTGCAATCAATCTTTCCCTCATTTTTAAGGTAAAACAAGAGTGGGTGACAGGGCAGCAGCACGGAGAGGCTGAAATGACAGCGAGAGCAACATCAAAAAGGGATTTGCCGAAGTTCCCTTTTATTGATTTGGGAACTTTTTCTAGCAGACACATACACTACACACACACAGGTGTAACGCCTGTGTGCCACACAATATCTAAGGCACGCTGCTTCACTCTTTACTTTTACTTTTCACTCATACTCCAAATTGCAACCAGACGCACATGTGGAGCGTATGGAGACACCCACAGAACACACACACACACACACACACACACACCCCACCACCCCACCCTTAGAAAGAGGAATGAGGTTCAGAAGGAAACACAAAAGTGTCAGCTCTCCAGCTGATTGCAGGGCGAGACACTCGGGACACCTTAACTGATTGCGCAGCGATGGAAACGAGCGGTTTCTGGCCAGCGAAGCGCGGCAAATTGGCAGAGAAAACGGTTCAGAAAGCAAACAAGTCGAGGCACGGCCCCTGATTGAATTCACATACGGCCACTGAGTCTCCCGCTCCACAGGGCAGGGCAGCGACGCAGAGCAGAAGACAGGCTCTCACTGTGCAATTGGAGTAAACAATAGACACTGCATCAGATCTGTACCTGCAGCGGTGATGTAGGTGTTTTATTTAGCAGCGTATCAGTGTTGATTCATTGGTTACACTTTCGTACTTTAAACCGGGGTTAGAGTGACCCAAGCCTATTCAATAGAAGAACATTACTTCGCCAATTTAACAGGATATTAACATGAGCCGGCCAGATCTCGAACGGTTAGACAACAGCCTTTCGGTGGTTCCTGAAATCTCTCCGAGTGTTGCGTTGATTTAATATAGTTCAGATGTAAAACTCTCAAGCGTCAAGCCCACTGAATGACTCCACGCCTGGAATACAGTACAGCAACGACTTGTTACTAAACAGTAGTTTAGTATTCTAGTGTGAACTTGGCATCTGTAAAACCCGAATGCACACGTAACTTTTCAACGGAGAGAGTGATTTTGCGCTATTTTTTCATGGATTTCATGATGAAGAAATCGAGAAGACGTCTGTGATGCGAACTCGCAGGGACACAAATCTAATTCAAAAAATGCAATCTACACTGGACGGTAAATCCTGTGAAGCCCGTCAAGACGTTCTCCTGATGGGAAAGACGCTACATCAAATACAAGGATGATTACTTAGTATTATATTGTCCCGTGGCTCAGTTTACTCACCACGGATTTGGCCTCCTGAAGGCTGTCCCAAGCATAGTCTACTTCTGTGGAGGCAGGAGAGTAGAAGCAAGGAATTATATTTAAACAGAGTCAACACCAAGGAAGATTGGCAACTGAAAGCACAATAAATGCATACCTGCCTCCCAATCACTGAGTTGAGAAAGGAACATAAAGTGACATGATGCGTACAACAGGGATATCTATATGGAACATTACAGCAAGGAAGCAGACCATTCAGCCTAACTCAACAAAACGAGAGATAACTATAGGCCTTGTATTAGATTAAAGTGCATTTCTAGCTGTGTTCCTACATGATGGGGTTTCAATTGGATTGGCAATCGCAACAGCATTACACTTTAGCTCTAAAGTGCACCATTGGCATTAGATCAGAGAGTTATTTTAATAACATTTCAGTCAAACTTACACATGCATACAGGAATGCATTGCCTGAAAGGGGGCTGGAAGCCAATTCGATGGCAACTTTTAAGGGAAATGGATTTGGGGAGGACGGCTTTGCAGGGCTGCAGGGAGAGGGTGGGGGAGTGGAATTGGTTTGGATAGCTCTTTTGAAAGAGCCGCACAGACACAATGAGACAAGTGGCTTCCTTCTGTGTTGTATAATTATATGATTCTATGATGATACCACAAAATACGCAGCCAATGCACTTCACATTTAATCCTATAAAGCGCTGGCGAGTAGTTCTCCCGACGGGAAAGACCTTCTATCAATCGTTGACTGTTTCAGTTAACATCACAAATTAGAACCAACTAACCATCAAGTCTTGAATTCTCCATCTCGAAGTGTCCAGACCTGTTGAAAGTCGCTGCCATCTCATTTCCACTGACTTGAGCTAAATAAAGAACTCAGGATACATTCACCTGCAACACACCTGAATGTAAGGATTATCATGTAAGGCGATGTAAGAATTATTGAAAAATATAATTTTCTCAGGAGGCATCGCTCGAGGATTTTACCTTTACGCCGATTATAAAAATGACATGTTAATAAAAAGTCAAATGGTCGGAGAAGCGGTTCATCTTCTAGAAAAGTGTTCAGTTTGATTCTGAGGGTATATATAACCAATGCTTTCACTTGTTGCTGACTGGATCAAGCGGGTGCACCGGGCATGCGGGACCTCGCAGGAGTGATCCCTCAGCAGACTCACAAGTTAGTACGGATGGTGAGTTGGAGCGGAAATAGCGATAGCTCCTCACATGTGTGGAATGCAAAAGTAGCTCCAACTGTCAGTGACGCCTTCGGAGAGAGTTAAAGAGGGCAGGCAGGCTCTTTGTTAGGGTGAGTAATGTAGCGTATTGTCAAGAGAGCTCAGGCGCTGTGGTAACCGTTGCATTTAACAACAAAACTGACAGAGCAGTTGAACTCTCCACCTGGTGTTGCTGAACAGGAAAACGGATGCGCTGTTTTCGAGTTTAATGGCAACTCCTGCCCTCAGAATGTATGCTGCAGCGAAAGAGCGATTGTCATTTTAGAGAACCACGTTTTTCTATTCACCAGCAAAGCCAAAAATGCTGTGAATAATCCCAACATCTGTTACTTAATGACCGTAACCGGTGCTTGTAAAACAATCACAGAATCGCACAGATGTAATAAACACCTAACCCTAACATTTGATACAGCCGCCTTATCGCGTCGTTGACACGTCTCAAAGCGCTTCGCAGAATATACCGTAAAGAGTATTTCGTGGGCGAAAGCGCGAGACGGGATGCAGTGCCCCACAACAGTCCTGGAATAGAGCGACCAAAATTTTAAGATAAATATACATCCTCCCCCTCTACACACACACGCGCGCGTGCGCGCGAACACGTTTTCCACGTGGGGTTAAAGAATTGAGGACCTTCCCAACAAATAAAATGATTTCCGCTGACCGACAATGTACTCTCCACACAAACTGGGCACGAACTAACCCGACCAGCCTGCGCCCTGTCAGGTAGTGTAGGCGAGTGAGCCCAGATTAAGAGTAGCAGAGGTGCTCTAAAGGCAAAGCCATCAATGCAATACAATAAAACAACAACAAAAACAATCTTTGGAAGCCTTTGCCTTCCGCATCTGAAGTAAAAATGCTGAGACACTGAGACCAAAGAATAAACACTTGCTTCATCTCTCACCAAAACACGAGTCGTTAACATGAAGCGAGCATACGCGATGTCTGAAAAGATGGGTTATTTTCAACCCCATTGAGGCTGTCACCAAAAACAAAGCTAATTGCAAGTCACCAACAAAGTTTGCAATGGAGAGAGAGAGAGAGAGAGAAGCAGTCAGGAGTTTCTATTCTGATTCATTTTTTTTTACCTTTAAAGGTGATTCGCAGTCTGCACTGGGGTCTGAGGTCTGAAGTCTGCTTCTGTGCCCAGACTGTACCTGGTTGTGGCTGTTGGTAACTGGTCAATAAATAGCTCGCAAGTTACGTTTGCTTCCTCGTTTCTAATCCCACGAGCTCGCAAACTGGAACTGCCAGCCAATTCCTCCCTTTAAAGTGACCCTGACTCCTCTCTCCTCCACGTACAGCTGGAAATAAATCTGCATCTAAAGTATTCACGTTTCAAAAGAAGTGCGTAACAATTATGTACAGCAATCTGACATTGATATTGATGGTGCATGACCTGGTTAGTGAAAGGTGCTACATCAAATGCAAGACATATTAAGGTTAATAATTAATACTATAGTAAAACATAATATTATTATTGGTAATAAATATTACCGTGATTGATAATTAGAATGACTGTTGACAATAAATAATATGATTGTTGATAATAAATAATATTATGATTGATAATGCACGATATGAATTGGGATAATCAATAACAGTGTTTGTATGATATAGTAATGTTAAATTCTACAGAATTATGTAGAAAGTTACAGCGCGGAGACGGGCCATTCGGCCCAATTAGTCTGTGCCCATTCTTATACCCCACATAGGCATCCTCCACCATTCCTTATCCCCTCCAGATACCCCTCCATCCCACAGCAGCGGAGACACATGGGGTTTGGCTGTCACTGAAGCCTTTTACTAAGGTCCTGAAGATCGCCCCCTTGTGGTAAACGACGGGTGCGTCAATTTCCATCGTCAACAACAACAACAACTTGCATTTATATAGCGCCCTTCCCTCTGCGAAGCGCACCGGAGGGCTTTACAGTGGCGGAGTCTGACAAAGAGCCGGAGGGCGGGGGGGGGGGGGAAGAGGGGTGGGGGAGGTGACCATAAACGCGATCAGAAAGGAAGGACTTCTTTGTGGGTCTCACGGGTCTGTCCTGTGTTCGCACTTGAGGTCTTTTTTGCTGGAAGAGGGTTGTCAGGGTTCCCACATCTGCCTTGTTTTCGTAAGGCAGCTGCAAGTGCGAGTGAACTGCAACATAAAAGTTAACAAAAAACCTCGGAGTGAATAACCAACAGGTATTTGAAGGTAAATGATGTCCCTTTATCTCTATTATCTGTAATAATAATAATAATAATTGGGTCACTCAATCCACGACTGCTTGTGGGACGCTGCTGTGCGCAATTGGCTGCTGCATTTCGCCCACAGAATATGCGGTCAATTCACTTTACTGTATATTCCGTGAAGCGCTTTGAGACGTCTCAAAGATGTGATAAGGCCGTAATATCCAACGCAAGGATTATTAGTGTGATTATTATTATTATTATTGAAACCCTGACTTACCATTTTGTACCCGGAGACACCGAAACATTTAAGACGCTGAAGAGTTTATAAGCTTCCAAGCAATCCTTGAAAAGTCAAATTATGGGCATTTGCAGAGGTGAAACTAATTCCCACCCTCCCCTCCTCCATTTCCCCTTCGAAGCCTCGACTCATTCCGATAAAAGAACTTGCTCGAGGCTGAGTTAGACAACTCTGCCTTTCATCTCGTCCGTTAAACTAAAACAAAATAAACATCGACGGCAAATTACTCAGATGAGAGCGACTGATAGCAAAGCCCAGCCGTGTAATTCAGAAGCAGCGAGGCAAATCTGTTTCACACAACATTACACGGTCGCTCCAGTTCAGATGGCGTCCCGCGAAGCGCTTCGGACCGGCGCGATAAGGCGCTGGGGTCGAAATGCAAGGATTATTCTGGTTAATACGACCGATCTCCAATGTTCTTTGTCACATGTGGGAGCGTTTTATTCGGCTTCCACGAGAGAGAAGCTGAACTGCAGGTGGCGGGATCGAGTCTCCGCACAAGTCAGACATCAAACTCTTACTCCAAGGCAGAAGGAAAGTGCTTTGGGGGGTGGGGGGGAAGGGAGAGAGAGAGGTTGGGGTGGAGATAGATAGATAGATAGATAGATAGATAGATAGATAGATAGATAGATAGATAGATAGATAGATAGATAGATAGATAGATAGATAGATAGATAGATAGATAGATAGATAGATAGATAGATAGATAGATAGATAGATAGATAGATAGATAGATAGATAGATAGATAGATAGATAGATAGATAGATAGATAGATAGATAGATAGATAGATAGATAGATAGATAGATAGATAGATAGATAGATAGATAGATAGATAGATAGATAGATAGATAGATAGATAGATAGATAGATAGATAGATAGATAGATAGATAGATAGATAGATAGATAGATAGATAGATAGATAGATAGATAGATAGATAGATAGATAGATAGATAGATAGATAGATAGATAGATAGATAGATAGATAGATAGATAGATAGATAGATAGATAGATAGATAGATAGATAGATAGATAGATAGATAGATAGATAGATAGATAGTGGAGCAGAGAGTAAAGGGTTTCAAAGTAACAGTGACACAGAAAGGAATGTTGCAAAGTCTGGGCAATGGCTAATTGCAGAGGGAAAAGCCACACACACACAAAAAAAGAAGAAATACTTTGCATCAAAGGTTACCAGTGAGAGAGAGAGAGAGAGAGAGGGGGTTTGTGGAGGTTCGGTGCCAGTGGGGGATTGACACTTGTTGCACAGGAACTTGACGAGAGAGGGAGGAACTGCAGTGCACTCACACACACAGAGAGGGGGAGAGAGAGAGAGAGAGAGGGAGAGAGAGGGCTTTGTTTCATATAATCTGCAGATCTCTGATCTCTGTTGTGTTTAATGTTTCCCTAATCCCGAAAAACAACCGGTTCAGATGTTACATTCTGCATCTGCTCTCAGGAGAGAGTCACAGAGACAGAGAGGGAGAGAGACATAGAGAGAGAGACAGAGAGGGAGAGAGACAGAGAGAGAGACAGAGAGAGACAGACACAGAGAGACACACAGAGAGACAGACAGAGAGAGAGACACAGAGACAGACAGACAGAGAGAGAGACACAGAGACAGACACAGAGAGAGACAGACACACAGAGACAGACACAGAGAGAGACAGACACACAGAGACAGAGAGACAGACAGACACAGAGAGACAGACAGACACAGAGACAGACAGACACAGAGACAGAGACACAGACACAGAGAGACAGACAGACACAGAGACAGAGACACAGACACAGAGAGACAGACAGAGACACACAGAGAGACAGAGAGTGACACAGACAGAGAGACAGACAGAGGGAGAGAGACAGACAGAGTGACACAGAGTCAGACAGAGAGACAGACAGACACAGAGAGACAGACAGACACAGAGACACAGACACAGAGAGACAGACAGAGACACACAGAGAGACAGAGAGAGGGAGAGAGACAGACAGAGTGACACAGAGTCAGACAGAGAGACAGACAGACACAGAGACAGACAGTGACACAGAGAGACAGACAGAGTGACACAGAGAGACATAGAGAGAGAGACACAGAGACAGACAGAGTGACACAGAGAGACAGACAGAGTGACACAGAGAGACATAGAGAGAGAGACACAGAGAGACAGACAGAGTGACACAGACACACAGACAGACACACAGAGTGACAGAGAGGGACACAGACACCCCGACAGCTGCAGTCACTCTCTGTGCAGTTGGAGACATTGTTGCTCAGTGACTGGACAGTAAGTTTGGGGGAAAAAAGAAAAGTTCTGCGCGAAAAAAAAATCCCAGAGATGTGTTAAGACGGTATTTATTTATTTATTGGGGGTTTGTTTTTGTGTTTTGTGTTTTTTTTTAAAAAAAATAGCGTTTAATTGTGTTACAAAATGGGAAGTTTACAAAGTTAACTTTTTAAAAAATATATTTCTTCCTCTCCCTCTCTCCCCCCTCTGTCCCCCTCCCCCCACCTCTCCCCCTCCCCCCACCTCTCCCCCTCCCCCCACCTCTCCCCTCCCCCACCTCTCCCCTCCCCCCACCTCTCCCCCTCCCCCCACCTCTCCCCCTCCCCCACCTCTCCCCCCTCCCCCCTCCCTCCCCCCCTCTCCCCACCTCTCCCCTCCCCCCTCCCTCCCTCCCCCCCTCTCTCCCACTCCCCCCCTCTCTCTCCCACTCCCCCCCTCTCTCCCCCTCTCCCCCTCCCCCCCTCCTCCCCCTCCCCCCCTCTCTCCCCCTTCCCCCCTCTCTCCCCCTTCCCCTTCTCTCCCCCCCTCCCCCTTCCCCCTCCCCCACCTCCCCCCCCCTCTCTCCCCCTCCCCCCTCTCTCCCCTTCCCCTTCTCTCTCCCCCTCCCCTCCCCCTCCCTCCCTCTCCCCCTCCCTCCCCCCCCTCTCTCCTCCTTCCCCCCCTCTCTCTCCCCCCTCTCCCCCCCTCACACCCACTGTTTCTGGTCAGCAAACAGTTTAACATTTAGTTTCTTTTTCTCTCTCTCTCTGTCTCTCTCTCTCTGTCTTGTGTTGATGTGATGGACATGTTGTTTTGTTTTCCTGTTTGATTTTGTTACTGATGGTGGTGGTGATGATGATGATGATGGTGGTGGTGATGGTGGTGGTGGTGGTGGTGGTGATGATGATGATGATGGTGGTGATGATGGTGGTGGTGATGGTGGTGATGATGATGATGATGATGGTGGTGGTGGTGGTGATGATGGTGGTGATGATGATGATGATGATGGTGATGATGGTGGTGGTGATGGTGGTGGTGATGATGGTGGTGGTGGTGGTGATGATGATGATGGTGATGATGGTGGTGGTGATGATGGTGGTGATGATGATGATGGTGGTGGTGATGGTGGTGGTGATGATGATGATGATGGTGGTGGTGATGATGATGATGATGGTGATGATGATGGTGGTGATGGTGGACGTGCTGTACGTTGCTCTACAGTGTGGTGTTTGGCTTAGAAAACAGACAGACCCTCAGGCTCCACAGACCTGGATACACAGTGACACACACCCCCCCCACCCATCCCCACACACACACACACACCACCCCCACACACACACACACCCCCACACACACACACACACACCCCACACACACCCACACACCCACACACACACCACCACCCCCCCCCCACATACACATACCCACACCCACACATACACACTCACACTCACACACACCCCCCAACACAAACACACGACCCTGAAATGTAACTTGAGCAGTGAGAGTACAGTGTAAATCTGGGGAGTGGAGCTGTATTTTTATGAATGACTTGTGATTGCACTGTCATAGGAATTCCTGGGACACGAAACGAAAGGGGTTTGGGGTGGGGGGGCGGGTGGGGGTGGGGGGGGCGGAGAATGTAACAACTATTCCTGTGCTTTGCATAACTGGCCGCAGAAATGTTGTACTCTGTTCCCTACGTTTACTCGGAGAGTGACGGACGGTAATGGTAACCCCTGCGTTTGATGCAGCGCCTTATCGTGTTGTTGAGACGTCTCAAAGCGCTTCACAGGATAGACTGTAAAGAGAACTGACTGTGTGTTTTGTGGGCGAAATGCGGCAGCCGATTGCGCACAGCAGCGTCCCACGGGCAGCTATGGCGTGAGTCAACCCAATTTTATTCGGGGTGGGGGGGGATTGTTGGCCGCTGCAGATCTCCAAACAGCTGTAATTTCCTTAATGTTTGACAAAGGAGTTATTGTGGCTCTCGGGTTAATCTAATTTTAAAAATGAATAAACCACGAGAGCACGGCTCGTGCAATCCGAACCCTTGACACGAGTGAGGTTCACGGCCTTAACGTGATGTCTGTTGTGGAATGCGATCGATTCGTGCTGATTGATTGCCGCTTGATGCGTGTCACCACCTGGCTCAGTTGGGAGGGCTCTGAGCCTCTTGAGTCAGGAGGTTGTGGGTTCAAGCCCCGCGCCGGGACTTTGAACGCACATAGGCTGGCCTCGCAGTCCGCTGGAGTGTAGGGGCAGAGGAGGGGGGCGCTCTGCGTTGTCTGAGATGCCACCATTCGGATGATCGCACTGCACACTGCGATCCGGTCTACCTGTTCAGGTGGATGTCAAAGACCCGAAGAAATGTTGCATTGCTCAAAAGAGAAGGTAGTTTCTCCCGGTGTTCAGGGCAATCAGCTCACAGGAAAAATTGGTCATTCGCTTCATAGCTGCTTGTGAAACCTCACTCTGCTCCAATTGGCTCTTCATTGGATTACAAAGTACAGTCACTACACATTTACAGTAATGACGGGCTTTGAGACACATCGCTGATGTGAGAGATGCTATATCCAATGTGAGGATTATTACCATTTATTATTATTGGTACCATTGCTATACGCCCGAGTCGTGTTCTCCTGTCACTCCTCCAACTCTGGTTGTTTTTTTCTTTTCGTGTGGGAATGATGTCAAGAGTGAAATTGCGTCTTTTAAAAATAGATTTTTGCGTGCAAAGGATATACTTGAACCCTTGTGTCACAGAGTATAATTAAGAGGTTTCTACAGTACATAGTTTTATTTATTGGGTCAGGGCTTGAATACAGTCCAGGCTGATGAAATTCTTACTGCTGGCTATAAAGGTTCTGCACAAAGTATGTTTGGGAAGTCTCAACCCAGTTCCTCGTGGGCTTATAATACAAATTTTAATCTTGTTTTTCAATATAACTTTGAAACCTCTCAAAGCATTTCATGCGTAATTGCAGTGAACTGCTGTGTGTATTTTGTAGGCAAACGCAGCAACAACAGCAGCAAAATGACATTTATAGAGCGCCTTTCACGTCGGGAGGACGTCCCAAAGCGCTGAACAGTGAGGTGTCGGGGCCGGAGCATGGGGGGGAGGGGTGGTATAGGGGTGAGGGAAGGCAGAGAGGTGGGAGGGAGACCAAAGGCACGGTCGAAGAGAAGGGTCTTGATACCGGCCTTGAAGGAGGCGAGGGAGGAAGCGAGGGCGAAGGGACCGTGGGATGGAGTTCCAGAGTGTGGGGGCAGAGAGGCTGAAAGCCCAGTCACTGATGGTAGGGCGGGAGACATGGAGCAGCCGGAGCCCGATGAACGGAGGGAGCGGGCAGGTTGGTAGGGAGTCAGCAGGTCAGAGAGGTAGGAGGGGGCGAGGCCATGGATGGCCTTAAAGGTGAGGACGATCTTGAACTCGATCCTCTGGGGGATGGAGCGCCTGATGAGGGTGGGACTGATGGGGTCGGGGAGCCTGGTGCGTGAGAGTACACGAGCTGCAGAGTTTTGGATGATCTGCGGCTTGTGAAGGGAAGCGTTCGGAAAGCCGATGAGGAGGGAGTTCCCGTAATCAAGCCTCGGGGAATGACAAATGCAGCATTTGCAAACAAAAGACGCAGCAGCCGATTTGCAAACAGCAATACCCCACCAACAGCTGTGAAGTGAATGTCCAACTCATCGGGCAGATTGTTGGCAAAGACACCAGGAGAAATTCCCAACGCTTGCTGCACAGTTGCACAGGATCCTTAATGTCCACTTGACCAGACAGAAAGGCCTTGGTTTGATGTTTCTTCCAAAGGATGACACGTTTAACAATGCAGCTCTGCATTTCAGTGTCAGCCTGTGAGCCCAAAGTCCTGATATATGGGGCTTGAACCCACAAGTTCTAACCCAAAAGGCGACTTGAGCCAATTCGTTGCTGGGGTCAACCTCACAAAACAGCTAATTTGGAATTCATCGGGTAAGGTAGGAAATGGCCCAAGTGTACTGACTATTGTTGGCACAGTATGGAGTAGATGTCTCTCTTCAATGTGCTTATGTTGTACAGGATATCCAGCCACAAGTTCATGCATACGGTAGGTTTCTGCATTTTGTTTTAAAAAAGGAACATTTTGCAATCCCTAGCAATTCAATCTACTTGTCCGAGCACAATTCAGCCCGATAAACAAATAATCATTTCAGCTTGAGGGATCAGACTGTCATTAGTTGCGGTACTTTGAATCCACCGTTCAATACGCGGGTGGCCTGAATATCAGCTCCTTTGGTTCAACAAAATTACATTTGACTGCTGAAACAGCCGGCATTTTAGCTCAAATTTCAGCTTCAAGGCATTTTATTTGAGACCCTTTTACAATCGTCCATCCTTTACGTGTCACCTCTCGTGGTTGCTTTGATTCCTAACCAAATAGGAGGTGATTTTTGCCGTTTCCAGCTTTGTCTCCTTGCAGTTGCCTCTTGTTATTTCTGCCTTTCATGATTCCTTCCATTGTCACTTTCAGGAATAGGGGCCTGTCCGCACGCATTACCATATACACCCAAACAGTCCTGTTGAATTTGTCTTTCTCGATCTTCCATCTCCTCTTTGTTTGCCCTGCTTGACAATTCAGTGACCTCCAGTCAGTGCTTCACTTTCCAATTTATCCTTGGATTAGATATATAATGCCTTTCACATTGGGAGGATGTCTCAAAGTGCTGCGCAGCATACACTGTATATTTTGTAGGCAAACGCAGCAGCCAATTTGCGCACGGCGATGTCCCACAAATAGCCATAAGGTAAATGACCACTTGTATTTTGGGATTGTCAGTCAGGACACCCAGAGAAACTCTCTTCCCTTTTTAAAGATGAGGAGCTGAGCTGATGTCCAGGATTGTAGCTGACGTTGCTCCATTGTTTTCTTGATCCATAATCGATGGTCCAGCCTCGTTGTGTCGGTCATCGGGACTGATGTCTTCTTCTTCCTTCTTATTTCCTTATCTTAGAGCATGTTTGACTATGGTGATTAATATTATGGATTCCAGTTCATGTCTTATTACCGAATGGAGAGGTTGTGTACAATAAATTGTGTGCTTTTAGCACTAACATCCGTTTTCATGTCTGGTTTCCTTTTCCACCAGTAAACTTGTTTCTTTAGTCTGACACTTACTGTTGAAGTATACCAGTGCATCCCCTTTCACGTCAGCTTGTAACTTGAGCTCACTTCCTTGAATTGCTTCTAGTTTCGCAAACTAGACTGAGATTTGGGTTCAGAAACTTCTGTTGGATTGGAGCTCATTTTAGTGGCAAGCTGACTGTTTACGATCGAACATCTTGTGCCAGTCACCTAACCTCCATGCATCGGGGTTTGGGGCAAGGAATAGATTGATATTGTTGGTGTGCGTTTAAATCACTTACCAGTTTCCTTTCCAAGTCTAAAGAACGCATTTGCTGCCTCATGTACAATAATGTTTTGGACGTCAACCTAATTATATCAGAATGACTATTATTTCATGATGAATGTAATTGAACAGTCTCAGGTCCATTGCACCAAGTGCTTAATCGTAATCTTTAACTGCGAATACATACTCAACAGCAACAGTTCACATTTATATATTGCTTTTCCTGTAAAATAAATGTCTCAAAGCCCTCTGAGCAGTAACTGTTCTTCATTATCATAACATCGGGTGAAAAAGGCTGTTTGACTCATCCTTCTAGACACCATCACCCTTCCTGGAAATCTGTTGTCATCTGTGTTTTTTCTCAGAATAAAATGTTAGCAATGAGTGTTTCTGAAGGCAATTCAATCCAGTCTTTTGACTTCAGTTTAGTTCTCTACCTTCTCCTTCGCTTGGGTGCTGTTCAATTCTGCATGGATCCTGGGTATTAAATATTAATCGATGTACAGAACCGCATCAAAGCCCAAGCATCTGAGCATTAATCAAGACGACCATATAACCACTTAACATTTCCACAACTGTGTCAGAGGATAGAGCAATGCCAGGGCACATCGCTGGAGATGTATGCTGGCTATGTCAGTGTCAGTGTCACACGTCTCAGTGTATGCCTTTGAATGCTGATGAGATACTCTATAACATCGAGTTACTAACCACATTGTGCCGTTCCCTATCACTGACCAAAACTTGCTTATAATGGCTGTCCTAATTCATTTGGCTTTCCACCACCCATTGTAAGCATTGTAATAGTTAATGTAGTTTTTCTTTAATGGACTGTATATATCTCTCCCTCGGGACCTGCCCGACGAAGTGCACAGAATTGCGTGTAAATTTGGGTTTTGTTCTCGTTGCAGTGCAAACGGACGGGATGGTGATGAATGGATTGGCCTCGTGTGAAGCCGGAATAGCCGTGTGGGAGAGAGGGGGCCTGCTTCGCAACCGGTAAGGGCTGGCCTTTTCTTACGCGGGTGCAGTGTGTGACCAGTGCCGGGTGGAGAGGCTGAGAGCCGGAGCCTGATTGTTTTACAGTCGAATTCGCTGCATTCCCACCGGGCTCTTGAGTGCTTAACGCAGTGCGTGTCTTGTAATCGTCCACATTCCCACACATCTCTTGTTTTTTTATTGGTTTAAGTGGTGGGCTCCGATGTTATTGCAAAAATGTCTTCACCCGAGGGAGAGAGGGACCGCTTGTCACTCACACGACACAGAGGCTTCGCGTACAAACAGGAGTTGATTTGCTGAGCCCACTGCGCTAATTTATTAGATCGTGCCAGATCTTTTAATCCCGTTTCCTTGTTTTCTTCATATCCATTGCTCCCCAAGTATTTATCTAAAAGCATCCTGGATAGATTCTACATCTACAGTCTTTTGTTGGCGTGCATTCAATATTCCCACACGCACCTCAGTGCAAAGAAATGTGTTTTGCATCTTAATTCTAGCTGTCTTGGCTCTAGGGTTAAGACTCTACCCTGTTGTTTTGAATCCCTCTATCCCTTCATTCCCCCTAGATTAAAGGCATGTTAATTCCGCAATTGTGATTTCCGTCTGCAGATTTAGGTATCGGCTAATTGGTCCTACTGTTGCTTGCTCACCTCAGACTTATAAATATAGAAATATCTCAGCTCAGGGAATGTAGTAAATGCGCCCAGTGTGAATTATGTTTAGAGCTTCCCAGTCCCATCTTCGAGCACACAGCTACGGCGAGACTTGTTTTGCTATTGACGTCCTCAACCTTTCAAAAAGAAGCCACTTCTCTTAGGGGCTCAGCCTGGCTCAGTGGTAGCACTCTCGCTTCTAAGTCAGCAGCTTGTGAGATCACACCCCCACATCGGGACTTTGAACTCACAGCGTCGCCTGACATTCCAGTGCACCACTGGGGGGATGTGCTGCAGGGTCGGAGGTGCCATTCCTATGGTTGAGGCATTAAAACCGAGGTCCCGTCTGCCTGGTCAGGTGGACGTTACAATAACGTCTAAAGAGAACACTTGCACTTTGCTGGGCACGTCCGAATTTGCTGCCGTCAAGCTGATGACATTCTTCTGGGGAGGAACTGTGCCAGACCTCTATTAAGAAACAAATTCATTTGCTTTGAAGCCCTTTTAAACAGTTTTTCTAATAAAAGAATCGTGACACTCTTTTGCTTTCCTGATCGGTATGCGTTTGGATGAGGGATTGCACCTTCTTTAGGAGGGTTTTCAAATCCTTTTCATGAAAAAAATGTAAGCCTTGCGATTGACACAGAGCTTTTGATGTCGGGACGACATCCTCACAAGACTTACTGTATAGTGGAGTGTCTGTGTGTATTGAATGCAGCAGCAAATTTGCACAACAACAAATTATATTTGTATGGAGCGTTTCACGTCAGTTGAATGTCCCGAGGCGCTGGAAAGTCAGGGATATCAAGATGGATTCAATACCCTTCAGACAGTTGTGAAGTGAACTTAGCTTTGTTTGATCTGATCGTTCCAGAGTGACCTCTCTGCCGCCGTCCCGTCACTGTATCAAGCCAGGGCAGGGCTCCTTCACTGCTGTGCTGGAGATTCAGCCGAGACTGTGATCTCAAACCCGGGTACAGGGCATAAAATCTAGCCGTCAATTTCTGGACCCTGAGCCAACTGGGTTGGAGCAATCCAGCGCAAAGTGTGGGTTGCTCCGTGGGATCAAAGACCCCACAGCTGATCGAAAAAGAGAAGGGAGTTTCTTCTGGCCCACAAAACCTTTCGCCTCACTCAGTAACTTTGACTGTTATGCGGGGAAAAGTGTGGGATAATTAATTAGTCATTTCTGCCGGAGCCTTGAGTGAGACTTTTCCGGGTGCAAAACGGATGCCACATTTACCTACGGGGGGAAAAACAGCCACCGCATAATAACGATGATCACAGTGAAGCTCCGGTGACGTTTAAGGTGGAATATGACACACGAGTGTTATCGGTGGCCCGGCACCATCTACACTGTCGGAAACTCCAAGGGGGAAGTTGGTCTTGTGTTGCTGTGGTTACAGGCCAAAATTCCTGTGCCTCGCTGCTTGAATCCCTTCAGTATCTTGTTGGGAGCTGCTGTACTGTTAGCCCTGCGTAGGTTAGCCCTGCGTAACTAACGGTGTTTTATTTTGTGCGTATAAGAGCGTAATAATTATTGGCCTCATAAACTGTGTGTGTGCGTGAGGAGAATAATAAACCCCTATGTTTGATGCGCGGTCTGTAAGGTCAAAGACTCTCAAAGCGTTTGCTTTAGGGGAATCAGTGTCTACTGTATTGATTGTGTATTTCTAGACAAAGGCGGCAGCAAAATTTGTGAATGACTTAAGTCTCACAAACAGCTGTGAAGCGATTGATCAGTTTTATCGGGGGGGTGGGAGGTGGTGAGGGGGGTTGAGAGAAACCCCTTTCTCGTTTGGGACAGTCTCTTGGAATCTTAACGTACGCCCGAACAGGCAAACGGAATTTGGTCTTAAGTGTCTCCTCCGAAGGATGGCACCTCCAGCAATGCAGCACACACCCAGCAATGCACTGGAGTGACAGCCCCGGACTAAAGCGAGTTCAAAGTCCCGACGTGGCATTTGAACCCACAACCTTCGAAGCCAAAGTTGAACGTGCTGTGCTGTATGTTAGTTGAGCCAAGCAGACACAGTTTCATACTCTACCCATACGCAGGAGACTTAGTACCGTGTTTATAAACTTGCCACAAATCGCACGAGGTCAGGAAAGGGTATCTTGCGTTTAAAGTGCGCGGAGTTCTTTATGCTTGCTAGATTGCAAATAAAATTTCCACGTGGGCTTCCAGCATGGCTGTCCTTCGTGGGGTAAAAAAAAGCTTGGGTCTGCGCGTGTGTATATACACACGCAGTTACAGCAACGGAATCAGATCATGAGCTGATTGAATGTGCGTCACTGGTGAAATAGCAGCATTCAAATGCCGTCGAGCATTGCTGTGTCAGTGCGCGAGGGGAGAAACTCCAGCAATTCATTGATCTCTAAAACGGAGTAGAGGGTGGGGTTGTTCTTTGCCTGAAGGGCTTCCCTCCCTCTCGTCGGGCCTCCCGTGGGCTTTGCTTGAGATGATATTTGCTTGAGCAGGGGGTGCGTCTCTCCTTATTTGTTCAATCCATCTCTTGCCAAGTGCAGCCCTGTGTGTAGTCTGCGTGCAGGAGCAGCATTGCTAGCAGCTGGAGACTGCTACAGCAGGGTTCAATTGGGAGGGTGATGTATTGCACCGAATTGCTCGATTTCTGTGATAAAAGTATGGAGGACAATGATTTCATGCCTTTGTTTGCCAGCGATGAAAGTCAAAGGTCAGCAACAAAGAGGATCTCATCAAGGTAGGAAGACATCTAACTGCAGTTAGCTACAATATCCCAGGTCCATCACTGACTGTGTCTGCTTTGCTGTCCTTAGTTTTTGTCTGTTTCATCTTGTCTTGTCTGAGGAGCGAAGCGGGTCTTTGAGGTAATTCTCAAATCCTATGGCATCGTCTTATTTTAAGATGTTTTCTGAATAAAAGTGCATGACAGTTTGTGAGGGTATATGAGGAATAGGGATCATTTGCTTTATTCCAGACACCAGTTGATCCCGAATATCTAAACATCTTTGCATTGTTTCACACGGCAGGGATGATGTATGGAATCCTGTCTGATTTCAGTTGCCCGCACTGGGATTGACACCTACAACAACAAGCCTGCAGGAAAGGCACCTCTTGCTTTAATCCCAGCTATGTTTATTTGTCAGCCTTCATTTAGCACCGTGGCATCAATTTAATTCATTCATTCATTCATTCAATGTGCAACTGCATTGTGTGTCTCTGAATTCATGAAGCATAAATCAAAACTGGCCCATCCATTCTCCCCCCTCACTTTGTACGCCAGAGAGCAATGAAAATGCCCGTGTCAATGCATTAGTTACTCAAGGTAATTTGTAGATTACAGTAGCTTTGACGTTGATGCTTGTTACATGCATTGCACTGAGATGTTTCGCACAGAACTCCAGGGAGTAACGCAGTACTTGTTTTGCTCGAAATTCAAGGAATCGATGCTTGCTGTGCATGGGTGTGAACTTGTGTGTTTAAAGTGCTAGCTGATAAGTCTGAACATAGATCAGTTATGTCTACAACTGAGCGCTTTTCTGCTGTTTGAATGAACACAGTGTCCTTTGTCTGACGGAGCTATAAAAAGCATGGAATAGTGAAACAGTGGAAGGGAAGAGAAGCCAAGCCAAGTCAAACGGGTGATTCATTGCTCTGGGCAAGATGTGCCCAAGATTTCTTAGCTTCTCTTTGCAAGAGGTTTTATTTCAGTCTGTCGTCAAAGCACAATATCGGGCTAAATTAACTTAATAAAATATATTAGTGGGAAAACTACTGTCACCCGTGCTTCAACAAAATAACCCTTCTGTTTTAGTCAATAAGTTACACGTTCAAGCCCCACATCAGAACTTTGCGCATACAGTCTATGCCGATACTCCAAAGGGTGGTAGAAATCTGGAATTCTCTCCCCCAAAAAAGGCCGTGGATGCCGTGTGCAAACTGCCTGTCAAGTTTCCCGAACGCAATACAGTCACCGCACTTCAGAGTACACCATGTGAAATGTTTTGAGATGTGCTACATTTCCCGTTAGGTTGAGAGTGAAGCTCTGGATCAGATGCAAATCTTAAGATTATTATTATTAATATTGATTTTGTAGGCAAAGATATTTCAGAGGAGGAGACAACAAATCACTTCTTGTTCAATATCATTCAGATGGCATAAATTTCATTGCATTACAAAGCTAATGGATTGAGTGGGGGAAAGATTCCTTCCCCTTCACTTGCATCGCATGTCATTTACCTCTTTCCCCCCCTCCCCTCCAGCCTTACCCTGCAATGCGCAGTCTGTCTTGTTCTGCCTTTTCTGGTTTCCACTGAACAGTTTAGACTGGGTGCAGATGCGTGACTTTATTAGCAGTTTAGGGA